CGCCATTTCAAAAATTTTTGCTTTTGCGCTTGGTTTAGGTGTAAGCGTGGCCTTTCATCTCCGAAGTTTTCCTGTTCTATTGACACAAGGTAAACGCGCTGTGATATTTGACAACGATTGGTTCAAAGAATTATAAACCCCTCTGTAATACAAACAGGCTGTTGGTGTAGACGACTCCTCTTGTTATGATATTTTATATTGCCAATACTCGGATCAACATTTTCCAAATGCCAAGTAATACAGGCGAAGGCGATTAGCAATTTTAAAAGACTGACAGTCAAATTGGATGTACGGTCATGATCTGAAGTATTAAAATGTTTCAAATTAAAGTATTGAACACATGGTATATATCTGCAATTTAAGCGAGTTTATATTTCAGAAAGTGGCATTTATCAGAGAAGAATCTATACGCACTTATACACACACATTATACTAAGGTTGATTGACGCTTTTTTAGAACTTGGGAAATTCTTTTTTGTTTAATCTCATGAAATACGTCGACATTTTGCAGAAGCAGATAGCTTATCTTCTGTTTGAAGGGTGGGAAAACTTTTACAGTTAATAATAAACTGTCATTTTAATTGAATTTCGAATCATCTAAATATCTAATTAAAAAGGAGATGTTCCTCCTGAGACTATTTTGAATTTTTTTAACACAATATTCCTGGGTTTTCTCTCATGGATTAAAAGAAGAGGTTGTTTCTAGATCCGCCCAAACGCCCATCTACCCTTGCTCCTAGTAGCTGAAGAATTGGTTATGCAGAGATATGATATCACAGATAAGAAACCATCTTGGCTGTAGAATTTTCCTCTGTATGATGTAGGAATACTGGCTTGATTATAATGATCAATCATATGAATATGGGTCACCGCTTTAGCTTCTGATGCCAACTCCATGAACAGCACTATTTGAATACATGCTTTTTATTTAAAGAAAGACAACTCCACCTTTATACAATCTTATCTTGGAATATTTTGACTAAAAACTAAAAAACGTCATAAGATTATCATTAAGGGGGATAAACTGTAAATATTTTTCCACCTATTGTATATGAGGGTCATTCGTTAAAGAACACAAACGGTCATCAACAAGAAGAGTAGTTTCTTTATATTTTGAATCCCTCAAGTTATTCTCCATTAACTTTTTCACAAGGATGCAGAGAGGACTAGAACACTTATGGATGCCTAAAGATCTCGCCTGAAATCTCTCCAAAATGCCGAAAAATCAATAAAAACGAAGAACAGCGGCTTAGAAAAGAGCAGCCTATATATCCATATATGATTCATATAGGTTTACAAAAGCAACTTTTGATTGGGAAAAGTGCAGAGTTTTGAGGGTCACCAAGGGATAGATGGTAGAGCATTTAAGGGATAGCCATTCAGATCCCATGAAAGACAAACAACTCGGAGAGTGATCAAGTGTAGAGAAGTAGAACAACCAGCATCAATTTTAGACTGCAAAGAATCAATATGGAAAGAGAAACCAAGATCCCAATCAGCTCCAGGGTCCAGTGGAGTTCTATACAAAGTATATAAGATGCGCCCAAAGCTATCGGGTCTATTCTGGAAGTTTTTAAAATGAGAAAGGAAAACATCCAAAGCAGTTGAAAAACAGCAGAAGGGGTGATGGTACCATTAGACGAAAGACTCCAGCAAGCATCTTTCCTGAGTGTAGAGGGAAAGATCGTCTTTGCAGTATTGGAAAGGAGACTAACATTATACATTATCTGTAACTATCTAGACACCTCAGTGCAAAAAGGAGGTATTCCTGGATTTCCAGGATGTTTAAAACATACCAGCACAAATCGCAGAACTCACCAGGAAGCTGGAACAAACAAGGAGACTTAATTAACAGCAGTTTGGCTAGAACTGGCAAACGCATTCGGTTCTGTATCACACTCGCCAACTATGAAGGCACTGTAGCACTATCATGTACCTGGCAAGATCCGGAAAATCATCTAGAGTTACTTGATGGCATCCACCTGAGGTTAACTGCATGAAATTTACTGGAAGAGGCTGAAATGAGGAATAATAAATGGCTGCTTCATCTCAAACTAATTTGTAATGGGGATGAATTTCAACATCAAAGCGACAGAACGAGACACAAAAGGCCCTAAAACAGCAAATGGGATTAAATTACTATCAGACAGAGTATTTGTGGATGATTTAACACCACCACAACAACAGCAACACATGTCCAGACATACTGGATACTCGAGACTCTTGAGAACACAGTAAACTGGGCAAGAATAAAGTTTAAACCACAAATCAAGAAGTTTAATTATACTTACTTACTGCCCGTGACGCCTTTGGCGTATAGGGCAGTAACGAGGGTTCTCCATCCTTGCTGGGGCACACAAGGATGGAGAAGTTAAATCATGATGGAGGGTAAAGTCACAAGGAAGTTCACACTGAAGAGATACCATCATATGTGGAAAAGCCTGTAAAGTACCTTCGAAAATGATTAATGCGAACTTGAAAGATCCAATGAACATCAAGAAGCTAGAAGAAAAGGTGAAAGATGTACGGATGAACATTGACAAGACCGAATTACGGGGTAAATTTAAAGCTTGGATGTACCAACGTGGACTGCAACCTAGGTTATGACCATTGACCCTCCATGAGGTCTCCAGCACAACAGTAGTGGCAGATAACATCTATAATTTATCAACGATTCCCTGGGTAATTAGTGGCGTCTAAGAACAGACTGGATAGCAGTGGGGAAGGTTAGAGACGCTAGAGAAACAGTTTGCAGCCGGGAACAGACCGGCAAAGGGTTCCATGGGTAAGCAACTTCATGTACAGTCTTTGAGAGAGGACACCTACTCAAATTACAACATTCCCACCGAAGTCTCCACAGGGATATTAAACTGTGGTTTACCTTCAATGGCGTCACAAATTCCTATTAAGATCTGGAAAGAGAAATAGTAACAGAATTCACATTATCGCCTATCCTGGCCATGGATCTCATCTGAAGTTCAACTGAGAAAGACGAGAGATTCCAAGATGTAGTCAGGCCTTTATATTCCAGCAAACAGAGGATTTATAGATGACGTACCTAACGGTAACCACAAGCACTCATTTGCAAGCAATGTGGGTCTTAAAATCCCTGGAAGAAAACGTCTATTTGGCAAGTATGGAATTCAAACCGAAAACGTCAACAAGCATGATAAAAAAGAAGGAATCCATCAAAAAAAGAATACACTTAATTAAGGTGCAGGATGAAGTAATCCTATTTATCATCTAGAATCCAATCAAGTGCTTGGCCAACTGGTCAGACTTAAAGAACAATAAGAACGTCCAAACCCACTTTCGACAATGGTTGCGGAAGATAGACAAGTTTAGCCTATCTGGCAAATTCAAAGCATCCATCTACCAAAATGGTGCCTTGCCTAGGTTTGAATGGATGGTTGTGTTCTCTGAAATTCCAACATCAACAACATACGTTTGTTAAAGATGGGTCAATTCATATTTTTGTGGATATCTGTCGATAACTTGGAGTCCCACCGAGATTTCTCCCACTGGTCTGTACTGCTGCACCGTGAACCTTCATTTTCATCACTGATAGATAGAGTTCAAGGTTTCAAAGTGTCGATTTGATTTGACACTAAAGGACTCCCGGGGAGCTGAGAAGCAGGGATGCAGACAAGAACAGAACGGAAGTAGAGTGCTAGCCAAGCTGTACAGGAAGTAGCAAACATGCTCGCCATATGTGCCATCAAAGGAAATACTTGTACAGGTAGACAAGGTCTCGGAACAAGATACAGGCAGTGGTGGTACAAGACGAGGAGATGAAGACCAATAAAAATCTAAAGCTGACAAACTCAGACAACAGTGTGGATAGACAAGATGGTCTGTTCCCGAAAGGATGATTACGAGGTCAGATCTTTGGAGGCTTAGAGTCCTTAGATTCCTCCTGAGCTCAGTCTACGTTGTACTTCCATCCCCTGCTTACTTCCTGAAATGGAACCTTAGAATCACCAGACTGCCATCTTATGGAGAAAGAGCAATACCTGTCCACATATTGTCTTGATTTGGACATAACTGCATCTGAGAAAACCTGCTGAAGCGACATAAGCTGATCACTCATCCACAAAACAGAGTCAATACCCTTATTACACACTTTCAGACCTAGCAAATCTATTCCTTAACAAAATTTAATTTCTTAATTCTTTAAGAAAAATTATATTGTAAATATCCTGAAAGGAAAACGAAACGCATACCTAAATGTATAAGATAAGCATTTATTACTATGCGACCCAATGACAAATTCAATTATATGTAATATTTCATTCATATTTGTCATTTATCAAAGCATAATATCGAATCAAACGACATTTTTGCACTGCAGTTTATGGCTGCAGGGAGTAGGGTGTCTGAATTTTAAAAATCAATGGTCAATATCGCGTGGGTCCTCATCCCGAATTTACAGCTGCTGGTATCATTTTGAGAATAAAATTGATCAGATGGCTGATTCTTAAAATAGGGATGAGATTTCACTCTCCCAAAGTACTTGCCTCTGCTCATTGTGAGGTTTGAAATCGGATATGTAAGCCGCGGTAAAATTCGTTGATATAGATTTCGTCCCATAATTGATGATGCTCAGCTGGAGACAGTTCGGGACTAAATGGTGACCACTATGTGCCCGTCCGTCGTTGATCACACGAATATCTTGGCATGCACTTGCAATGTACGTTCTTTTCGTGTCGAACGTGGTTGTAAAAGAATGAGCTCTGTGCTTTGAGGCCTTTCAGAAATCTAATAATACTACGTCTACTTGATCTCCAAAGGCCAGTGACTTGGCCATATTGACCACTCTAATTAAGAACTGAGACTCGCATGATCTACTCGACCTGAAGTTGGTCTTCCAACCAAGATCCTCCTTAGTGTCCTCAGGTGAGCAATGTGGCCCATGGGCCTCTTGGTTTTATAATTATCGGGATCGGGATTCCTTTAATTGCCAATTTAGTTTCGTTTTCATCGTCATCCAGCTAACGTAAACATATGGAAAAGAAGCTTGCAGAATACAGAGCGAAGAAAGCAAAAGAAAATATATCTGTTGGAAATAGTTTCTTTTATCTCTTTAGAAGGAGACAATGTGATTCACCCCAGGTATAAAATTTAAACAAATAATATGTTGACGGTGCGACCGTTGGGGCGAGCGCAGTGTTCACTTCATTATTATGATCCGCCTCTTCAAACCGCACGAGACATTTGAAACGTCTAGACTGTGACGTCACATGACGTCGTATGTTAGCTGCATTTCCATAAACAAAGTTTAAAAAGTGCAAATATTTTAACAAAGAACGTTTAATCTACTATCTGCATGCAATATCCATTAAATTAAGGTGAGTTTATTTTGTGTGAATTTTTAGTTGTTGTCACTGCGTGAACGAAGTTAGCAGCGAGAACAAGAAGCGATGCATTGTGGGTCAGAATTACTGCGGAAAAAAATCCTATTGAATGAAACACTCGGCACACCTCGGCCGATTCGTACCTCATCAAACCTCTGCTGTATCATGTAAACCTCCATTGAACCGGAGCTACTTTATACGCAATATGGCTGCGCCCTACATTTACACGTGCACAGTGTGCTGAATTCGATCCGTTAACAAACATGTGATTATGTAAAGAAACTAAGTGCATTTTTCTTGGTAAGTGTTATTCTTAGTGTAACCTGTATGCTTTTGAAAATTTTCATCGTATATCAGATGCATGTTTATTATCATTTTCAAAGCGTTACGTTTTCCCTAAGCGGTAAACAGGCAGCCTTATCACAAATGTTAAGCGGAGACGCATATCAAGTTTCCTCATACAGCCGAGGTTTGATGAAGGTGACGGAATCAGCCGAGGTTTGCCGAATGTTGAATGAATGTGCAGTAGTCCGAATTTTCTCTTCGCCTAGGCGTTGTCGTTGGAGCTCGCAGTGACGAGCGGCGCTTGCGCGGCTCGCTGCGCTCGTTATAAATTTATTTATTATAAAGTTATCAGACCAGAGACAAAAAGTTGTTTTTATATTGTACTTGTATCTGTGTTCAGACCACAGACCCCTACCTGGATCTTGTTTATATGTTCTTGTTATTCTTCCAATAATGTGCAGAACCTTGACATGAGTATTATGACAGTATTATGAAGCGTATGCTAGATGTGGGAACAAGTGCAATATTATTAATAGAATAATCTAGCTGTGTCTCGGGACAGTCCCTCGCCACAGTTAAATCGGGTCCGTAGGACATTTATCATTTTAACAATAGAATATTCTATCTATCTTGCTGCATACATTGTTGGATGTAGCTCAGCTACCAGGCTGTGCACCATTCCATACATAACTACAGATTTGTATCTGGCTCCTTATTTCTCCTAAAATGCTGCTTCAGGTTCTCCATGTACATTAGTCACTATAAAGTGGTCAATAAATACTTCCCACTTATAGTGATTGTGCTTTGAGAGATTTTCACCAAAAAACAGATTCAGTATCATTTTTGCTGTCTGGATTCACTTCTTCATTGATTTACTCAGACCTAACAGCAACCACCACACCTCCATACATGTAACCACCAAAAGGCTCAGTCTGTGTTGCACTACAACTTAATGTCATCATGGCATTATCTGAGAATTGACACTGTGGAATATGATTGCACAGCCTTAGAAATGCTAAAATGTATTTATAGGATTAAACAATGTAGTGTAATGGTTTGGACCATGGATATCTGCCTGAGTAGCTTAGGGACTCTGTCAGCTATACATTTTCTTCTTTCCTGTTACATAATTTGGTGCAATTGACCACCTCTGGACTTGTAGGTGAGAGTCCTGCCAGGGGTAGATAAGGGCTTGGGTTGTGTTTTCAAGGGCAAAAACAATTTAAGGAGGGATGTAGGGGTCCAGGGTTTGATTCCCTATCCAACCATACATTTTCTCCTTTCCTGTTACAGTAGTTATGTTGTTATAAAGACTGGCAAAATCTGACCCAAAACTAAAATACATTTAATTTATGGTGTTTCAGATCAAAACAGATGAAAATGTTACCTCAAGAGATGAAGAGACAGAGCTGGAAAAATCTACCAAAAAACCATGGAACAGGACACAGCTGACACTAACCATTCTCATGTGGATTCTTGCCTGGCTCTTTTGTATTGAGCATCAGTTTGGAGCAGTTTTCCTTGTTATTTCATTGATATTTTTTATATATTACAACACAAGAACAGACAAAAGGAAACAGAATAAACTTAGTGCCTACTCTGTATTTAATCCTAACTGCGAGAGGATCGATGGTACATTTACTTCTGAGCAGTTTGAAAAAGAATTGCTTCATGGTGCCAGTGCTGTGAGAAATTGAGATAAATTGATCTGAGTTTATTTTATATTGACTATTTATTTATTTCATTGTTTGTCTAAAAGTTTATAGATCTGCTTAAATTTGCATTGTGTACTCTATGAATCTGAAATCATTGTAGGGTTTTTGAATATTACATTATCAATGTACATTTTGAATTTAGTAAATTTTGTTACATATCTTATATGTAGTTTATTATTTTACAAATGGAGCAGGAAATATAATTTATTTGTTATTTGCAGAAAGGATCAGTTTTTAATTAATCAAAATGTGTTTTTGAAACACTGATGCCCCCGTATGGCAGCTTATGGCAAAGGTTAAAGTTTCTCAAATGCAAGTCAAACTCCAAGGTCAAGAGATCAAAGATGTTGTTACCCAAAGAAAGGACTTGTGTCAATGGATATTCCTGGTGAATATGAAAGCCCAAAGACCAACCATTCAAAAGTTATGCTTAAGGTTAATGTTTTCTAAATGTGGGTCAAACTTCAAGGTTAATTATGGTCAAAAATATTTATTAATGGTACGCAGGGGAAGACCTTGTCATAACAAAATACTCATGCAAAATATAAAAGCCCTAGCACCAATTGTGCAAAAGTAATGGCAAAAGTTACAAGTTTTTCGAAAGTAGGTCAAACTCCAAGGTCAAGGTCCAAATTGTTGGTACTGTATCCAAAGGAATGTCTTGTCACAAGGAATATACATGTACGTGTAACTGTGAAATTTGAAAGTCCTAGTACTAGCTGTTCAAAAGTTATGGCCCAAAGTTAAAGTTTTGAAAAAGTGGGTCAAACTTTAAGGTCAAAAATATTTATTTATGGAAAGGTCTTGTCACAATAAATATACATGTGAAATATGAAAGCCCTATCACCAACTGTTCAAAAGTTATGGTTAAAGTTGGGTAAATTTTTGCAAAAGTGGGTCAAACTCCAAGGTCAAGGTCTAGAGGTCAAATATGTTGATACCCAAAGGAAGATCATGTCACAAGGAATACACATGTAAAATATGAAAGCCATAGCTCCAACCAATCAAAAGTTATGGGCAATGTTAAAGTTTTTGCAGACAGAGAGACAGCTAGACAGACAGAGGGACAGGGCAAAAACTATATATACCCCAAAATTTCCGATTACGGGTGCATAAAAAAATGTTGCATTAATTTTTTTTTATCAACAAGTACTCATTCTCTGTTCTCAAATAACAGAGCAGCCAGAATATAGGGGATCAAAATTTCACCATTTATGGTATCATACAGGAAATTAAAAAAAAAAATAAATCTTCTCTTCAGGAACACCAGAGTCATGACTGATTAGTCTTATTTATATGCAAGATTGAAATTTCATCAAATTATAGCCCCCTGGGTTAGGATGGGGCTACAATAAGGGATCAAATATTCACATGGAGTATGAATGAAAAAAATCTTTAAATATCCTTGTCTAAATTCACATGTAGTACATTCATACTTGTTCAAAACATGGCCATGGAGCTTTTGTGGCTAAAGCAGGTAACATTCAAAATTTTAAATGGAAATATTTAGGAATTTTGTTTAAAAAAAATCTTCAGAAACTAATTCATATTGATTCCTGTGTATTCCTGGGTCATCAAGTTTGCTCAAATTATGGACACTAGGTGACTTTGAAAATTAAAAAACTTTGAAAATTAAAAAAAGCAAGAAAAGCTAGATTACTCGGGTGACTGCCGAGGCCCTTAGGCATCTTGTTTCAGCTCTAAGGCCAACATCAACCTAAGATACCATTATTTTTAACATCTTACCTTATTTTGTGGGATTAATGAAGTAAATACTACATGAATACCAATGACAACAGGGCTAAATGCAACATTCATCGAAAATGTTGATGCAGACAAGTTGTACATAATTCAAAACCCAGTAATTCTGTTAAAAAATAGACTATCTGGAAGGAAATTCACTCTCAATCTATAACTTCTAAATACAGCCACATTATATTCCATATAATATGGAAAACCAGAAGTCTCTATTGCTTTGTACATCACATATGTACATAACATTGGCAGATGCACCTGCACTTGTAACACTTCTTTGTTATTATTTTGAACTTTGATGTTTTCTAAACTTGAACAGTTATATTGATATCAAATCAAAACTGTAGGAGGAGTAGCATTTTGAAAAATAATTCACAAACTCATTTTTAGCAACCATGGCAAGAATGATCATCAAAAACTTAAACTGATGTAGAGTAATTATTAGCCATGAGTAGTTAGTAATTATTAGCCATGAGTAGTTTTAAAACACTTTCAAAGAATATTCTATTTTTGGAAAATGTTTACAGATAGAGAGATGGACATCTATCCAATACTTGTACTCATCTGGTCTCTGACTTAAATGTTGATAATTACCAGTAGGACATCATTAAAATTTTGAATTAACAAGAAGTCTGTGAGCAAATGCTTACTAGTAATACCCCCACTTTGATGTGAATATATCCTCTCATGTTGACATCTGATTCAAACAAAAATGAATCCCACCATATGGCATGCCTAAACAAAGAATGTGCTAAAATTTCAAGCATCTGTGATGAATTGTTGCTGAAAAATCTATTTTATCTGAAATTTGATACAAACAGATGCAAGGATAAACAGGAAGATGACATCAGATTCGAACAAAAATGAATCCCACCATATGGCATGCCTAAACAAAGAGTGTGCTAAAATTTCAATCATTTCTGATGAGTAGTTGCTGAGAAAACTGCGACGAAAATTGGTTACAGACAAATGAACGGACACACAGACGGATAGACAGACACACAAGGGTAAAACAGTATACGCCCTCTCCTTTGGATTATAGTATAAAAACAAAATCTATATTGTGATAAATTTTATTATGTCTTGTTATACAAGAGGAGTTTGGTACAGATTTCCATTATTATTCATAATGATCCCTGTGATAGCAGTGTTACATGTAAACTTCCCAAATCCCAGTTTATAGTGGGTCCATCTGATCTGGATTCCACTAATCACAGTCACTGAGCTGTTGTCATGGCACTCTTGGCCTCCTCTGCCAAGGAACGCAGTTTTTTCAAGCTCTCCATGTCACCAAAATCTCCATATTGATTTAGCTGAAAGATATACATAATGTAAAGTAACTTCCAGTTTAATAAGCTGGGAATTTTTTAAAACTTTTTTTACTCCATAATACAATACCTGAGCACTATAGTTGTCTATGTCCACAATAAACTGTTCTCGTATTTTATCATCGTCTGTCATGCCTTGGTTTCCTGAGCTTTTATCACTCCCTCGGTTTTTCTTCAGCCTCTTTAAGCTGTCCTCCACTTTTTTAACAGACATTAGAACATCTGATGTGGCTGAATAGTACCTTAGAAAGTTAGGGTAGAAACTGAGTCCTCTTATGTGACTTTAGTTGAAATCTTAGCCAAAGTATTTTATAAATAAAAAAACTGCTTTCAGTTCGCATAAAATAAGACTGAAAGAGGAAGAAAATACAATGTACTACTTTATACTAAGTTTTAATAAGTCTAGATCAAATAGTTGTAAGATAATAATAAATCTTCCCAGTATTTAAGCTTCCTATATGTCATTTACATGTATCTAACAGATGTACACAAGTCAACAAAAGTCACTTAACTATTATGTCTGCCTTTTAAAACCCTCAAAATTGAAGATGAATTAAAATACAAAAATTATGGTAAGTCAAAGATTTATACATGAATAATTTCTATCTTTAAAATGTTACAAAAAATAATGTTTAGTCTGATGTTTTTGGAGGTCCATGTTTGCTCTGCTCGTGATTTGTATTGTTTTAATGGACTTTGAGCTTGAATACTGTTCATTATCTCCATATTCCACTTACTGAAAAAATTGTTTTCTCAAGCATGTACATGTATTACAGCGAATTACAAAATACTGGTAAAGTTTTCAATAGCTTGCTGCATAGCCCAATAGGGTTTACAATTTGGTCTAACAAGTATCACATTAGGTTTGAATCTAGGTCACGAAGTTACTTAGGTGTATCATTAGAGTTTACAGGTAAATGTGAGTTGATTTCAATGTTTAATGAAGCCACATGTATGTGCCAAGGTGTTCTGCTGTAAACAAATGCATTATTTTTCTTTAATTGCAATTTTTTCTGTAAAATTGTATGCTAGTTCTTTCAGTAATGCATAAATCTTCCACATACTATAATTCTTTCTAATTGCTCTAAAGTCTTGCCACTTCCGAAATTAAAACCTATTATAATCTTTTTTCATGAACTACAAGCAATTTCAAATTGGAGGGTAAAATTTTTTTTTTAGGACAAAAGTTTCATTCTTATCAATAAACAATAGCAACAGCACTCAATATTTGAAAACTAATTAAAAACAGAGAAAATAAGGGGGAGGTTGAGGATGGAGGGATTAAACTATGCCCATGCCAGCAGTTGCAAATTTGAACTTTATAAAAGAACTTACAAATATAAGTCTTGAAAATTTTAACATGATAGTTCTTAACTCTCATCACTGAATAATTTTGTGAAATTTTGCTTTTATAAAATTACCTAATTAATTTTTTCATATAAAGTATAAAATTAAAACAATTCATACAATGTAAAGATTAAAATAAATTGCAAAAGTGCTTAGTTCTTTTGTAAAACAAGCCCTAAATTCAAATTTCAGATTTTCAGAGAGTTAAGGAATACAGTGCAGGAAACTAATTTTGTTACAGCATCGATGCTGATTTGAATGCTTCCTTTGCTTGCTGATTTGAATGCTTCCTTTGCTTGCTGATTTAATGCTAGTAATCCTTATCCTGATGCTGTTTTATAATTAGGTCAATGCTACCGGAAGCAGCATCATGCTACCGGAAGTAGATAATGAATTTCAGCATTGCCGTTTAAAGCAATAAAAGTGCCTTTTACAATTATTTGATCATAATATCTGACTATGTATCAATAATGTGAATACTTTAACCAATATTCTTTCTTTCTTTTTTAATTTTTTACTGAATTAAAACTCATTGATTTTCTGATGCTAGTAGGATAATGCTGGTTTTATGTAGGTCAGTGCTGGTTTTATCCTATGCTTGCTGATGCTGATCCTGGTAATGCTGTTTTTTAAATGCTGATCCTGATGCTAGCTCGATCCTGATGCTACTAATGCTTATGCTGATGCTGGTTTATGTAACAAAATCAGTTCCCTGCACTGTATAGAAAATTGCTGAGTGTAGAGATGTTGATCATAAGTTAATTCAGTACAAGTTATATTTGTTATTTATATTATTATTAAATTATTTTATATTATTATATTTATGTGTTTATTTAAAATCCATAAGATGAGAGAAAAATGAAGTGAAAAGCATACTTCCTTACTTGTTAAACAATACCTTTTGCAAGGAAGGAAGGGGGGGGGGTGTCATTAATTAATGCTGCAAATTAACTGAAATTTGCAATTAAAAAATTAAATTAAATGCATTAATATACAGAAGAACACATTGACACATATATGTGGATTCATTAAACATTGAAATCAACTCACATTTACCTGTAAAATCTAATGATACACCTGAGTAACTTCATGACCTAGATTCAAACCTATTGTGATACTTGTTAGACCAAATTGTATACCCTATTGAGCTATCCAGCAAGCTATTGAAAACTTTACTGGTATTTTGTAATTCGCTGTAACAAGACATTTTAATAAAACCAGCCATTATAATATAGTTTTCATCATATACTTGTACTACTATGCACTAGTAGAAATATCATTAATACAAAACTCCAAGTGACTTACGATTCTGTGAGACTGTCTAATACTTCCTGAAACATCTGAAGTTTGAGTTTCTCATCTAATATATCTGAATGTTCCTCAGTAAACATCTTAATGGGTTTCAGCAGGTTTATCACATAGCTGGATTGTTTACTTGGTACCTATAAGAATAGATTGGAACATCATCCTAAAGAAATTCCATTTCACTTAAAGTTTTGTTACAAAAGTAGAATTCATTTTAATCAAAATATGATTTGGAAAAATCTATTATTTTCCTTAACCTTATTTTATTTGTAGTAGCAAATGTATATCATTGTTTTGGCTTAATAAAAAAGAAACAAGATGTTTGTGAAACACTGATGCCCCTGTATGGCAACTTATAGCAAAGGTTAAACTTGCTCAAATGCAAATGAAATATGTTGGTACCCAAAGTAAGGTTTTGTCTCAAGGAATATACCTGTGAAATATGAAAGCCCCAGCAGCAACCATTGAATAGATATGGAAAAGGTTAGTAATTCAAACATCAAGGTCAAATGGTCAAAATTAATGGTGCCTAAGAAAAGGTCTTCTCACAAGAAATATACTGGTGAAATATGAAAGCTGAAGCACCAATCGTTCAAAAGTTATGGCCAAGGTTAAAGTGTTTCAAAAGTAGGTCAAACTCCAAAGTCAAAGTCAATGGATTACAATTGTTGGTATCCAAAGGAAGGTCTTGTAACAAGGAAAAAACATGTTAGATATGAAAGCCCTAGCAACAACTTTTCAAAAGTTGTGTCCAAGGTTAAAGTTTTCGAAAAGTAGGTCAAAGTCCAAGGTCAATGTCAAAGGGTCAAAGTTGTTGGTATCCAAAGGAAGGTCTTGTCACAAGGATCATATGTGAAGTATGAAAGCCCTAGCACCAACTGTTCAAAAGTTATGGCCAAGGTTAAAGTTTTCCAAAAGTAAGTAAAACTCCAAGGTCAAGGTCAAAGGGTCTAAGTTATTGGTATCCAAAGAAAGGTCTTGTCACAAGGACTACATATGTGAAGTATGAAAGCCCAGGCATCAGTGATTCAAAAGTTATGGCCAAGGTTTAAGTTTTTCAAATGTAGGTCAAACTCCAAGGTCAAAGGGTCCAAGTTGTTGGAATCCAAGGATGGTCTTGTCACAAGGATTAAATATGTGAAGTATGAAAGCCCTAGCACCAGCCATTCAAAAGTAATGGCCAATGTTAAAGTTTTACAAAAGTAGGTCAAACTCCAAGGTAAAGGGGTCAAAGTTGTTGGTATCCAAAGGAAAGTCTTGTCACAAGGATTACATATGCTAAGTATGAAAGCCTTAGCACCAACCATTCAAAAGTTTTGGCCAATGTTAAAAGTTTTTCAAAAGTAGGTTAAACTCCAAGGTCAAGATCAAAAGGTCAAATATAGTGGTACCAAAAGAAAGGTCTTGTCACAAGAAATACACATGTTGAGTATGAAAGCCCTAGTACCAATCGTTCAAAAGTTATGGCCAAGGTTAAAGTTGGGAAAAATTTTGCAAACCTGGGTCAAACTCCAAGGTCAACGTCAAAAGGTCAAATATGGTGGTACCCAAAGAAAGTTCTTGTCACAAGGAATACACATGTGAAATATGAAAGTCATAGCTCCAACCAATCAAAAGTTATGGGCAATGTTAAAGTTTTTGCGGACAGACAAACGGACGGACAGACAGACGGACAGACGGGGCAAAAACTATATACCCCAGAATCTTCGATACAGGGGCATAAAAAGTGAATTCTGCACTTAATATTAAACTCTGATAAGAAACTACAAAAAAAAAATCACATGCTGATGGAAAATTTCAACTCGTTTTATGCTCCTTACAGAAAAATAATTGAAGTACCGGTAATTATAATTTTGTAAAGTCTTTAAGAGGTTTTTGGTTTCATTTTTCAATTAAACACTATTTCTGCAAGATTTCCATCTCCTATCTTATATATCTCATTTAAATTCCTTGCTTTCAGATGAAAAATGGAAACATGAGTGTTATTTCAATATAAATTCTTTTAAGTTGTCTGTAAACTCAGTGACAGTGTATTTTCACTGAACACTAATATTAAATCTATCGGTAAAAAAGAACAAAATGAATGAAAAAGAAATTCAACATTTAGGCCAAAAAAAATTACTGTAAACCAACTATTATTTGGGACATCTTTTATTCACGATACTTCAGTTTGGAATCCATCCGCGACTACTAATGTTCGCGACTGAGACAATATTTTTTCATAAATACATAGGTGGATAATTGGTTTGTGACGAGAAATATTTGCGAATGAAAGAAGGTCGCGAATCTTGCGGATATTTCTTGCTTGCGAATAAAAGTTGGTATACAGTAATCAATAGTTTCTCAGGCACAGCCGCATCAAGTCAAAAACTTCCGCATTGATCAATTTTATTGACATATTGAAAAGGGAAATAACTCAATTATCTATTTTTCTAAGTTATTCCCCTTTCCATTAATATTAATAATAATACCAATCAAATGCACTGAAACTGGTACCTCTTTATTGGTTCTTCTGTACAGTCGTGGAATGTCATTGACTTGCTTCAGGTGTGCAGAACACTGTGTTGTGATTTCCTCCACAAGATGGGCTTGGAATTTAGGCAGTTTAGCTTTAATTTCTTCACTACATTCTGTCAAACATTCTGTCAGAGAAAAAAAAGGGTGTAGATAAAAATACAGAAAAATGTATGCAGTACCTTAATGATACTTCATAATTTGAACCCAGTCGGAACTCTTCCTACTCATGAAAGTTATCTCCCTTTTTCATATCAATTCTGATTCTCTGTAAACATCTTCATGACCACAAATATTTCAGTTTAGTACCATAAACCCAAAAAGATCAGTAAAGTCTATACATGTATTGTCTATTTGCTCTTTTGTGTTCTTATTTACAGAGGCAACAGAAAAATAAGACTTCTTAAAAACAAGAGGCCCAAGGGCCTTAACGGTCACCTGAGTAAAATACAACAATTTAGAGGATCCATAAAGTACAAAATAAACAGGTAGATGAAGATTTGTTGCCCAAAGGCAAGATTCAATTCAATTCAATTTATTCACTCAAAAACCATGTAAATGGTTACATGAGGTACATAAACATATAAAACATATATACATATAATACAGTGGGTCAAGCAAAAGGTGAGATTAAGAGAAATAGGATGATCAGGATCAATGAAATAATTAGTCTAATATTCAGTAACAACTCATAAATTAAATTCTAATCTATCCCCCATTTATCACAATCGCAATGCAGACAATTATCAAACAAGTATTAGTTCTTCCGTACTACTTTTAACCCCATATTGTGACCTCTCACATTGGCCTCTCTTGGTCTTTGAAAAACATTAAATAAGTTATTTTTGTCTCATTTTGATTTATTTATTATTTACAAGTTTACCTGATCATTAAAACTATGAAAGCACTTTTTGTATCATACAATAACATTTCTTGCATAATTCTCTTAGTCTATTGACTTTCAAATACATGTACATTATTTACAGTGATTGATTATCAAAAGTGAATAGGAAAGGGGAATAACTTCTCTCAATAGAATACAAATTAATAGAGCACTGGCCAAGACCAGAACACTTGACCAAATGGTGCTGATGTTCAAAAATCTGGTAAAAATATTCTTGCTTATTAAAACTTTTATTCTGTTTGCCTTCGATTTGCCAAGGAGCAGAGAAGATTTTCAAAGAAATAATGCATTTTCACTACAGAATCAACACAGCCCTATCCTAACACTAAAACCCATGTCCCAGGGTCATGAAATTCACAAATTTGGTAGAGGTACCTTCATCATCATCATCATAACTATGCACTTATTTGAAGATTTTCAAAGAATTAACACATTTTGACTATATTATCAATAAAGCCCCCCCCCCCCCTCCCGCAAAACACCAAAACCTGGGACCACAAGTTTTAAAAAAAAATGTAAAAAGCACAATTGTTCATCATAACTATGCACTTTGTTTATCTGCTCAACAATAAGGGACAGACAGGATTATTTAACAGAAATAATGCATTTTCAATATTTTATCAAAGAAATTATGCTTTTTCACTATATATTCAATAGACACCCCCCCCCCCCCCCAACCCAGGGGCCATGAATTTCACAATTTTTGAAAAGGCATCATTGCTTATCATAATCATGCACTTAGTTTGTTTAAATAATACCCAGGAGCAGAGAAGAAGATTTTCAAAGAATTAATGCATTTTCACCATATAATCAATAGAGTCCCCTCCTAACAACACAGCCCCTGACCCAGGGGCCATGAAATTCACAATTTTGTAAAAGGCATCCTTGTGCATCATAAGCATGCACTTAGTTTGTTTAAATAATACCCAGGAGCAGAGAAGAAGATTTTCAAAGAATTAATGCATTTTCACAATATAATCAATAGAGCCCCGCCCTAACACCAGAACCCCTGACCCAGGGCCATGAAATTCACAATTTTGTAAGAAGCATCCTTGTGCATCTCAAACGCGTCCATAAATTTGAAGTTTCAATAACTTCGAGATGAAATAAGATTTCCATGCACTTAGTTTGTTTAAATAATACCCAGTAGCAGAGAAAAAGATTTTCAAAGAATTAATACATTTTCACTATATAATCAATAGAGCCCAATCCTAACACCACAGCACTGACCCAGGGGCCAGGAATTTCATAATTTTGTAAAAGGATAACCATGCACTTAGTTTGTTTTAAAAATATCCAGTAGCAGAGAAGAAGATTTTCAAAGAATTAATGCATTTTCCCAATGTAATCAATAGAGCCCCACCCTAACACCAGAACCCCTGACCCAAGGGCCATGAAATTCACAATTTTGGAAAAGACATCCTTGTGCATCAGAAGCATGCACTTAGTTTGTTTAAATAATACCCAGGAACAGAGAAGAAGATTTTCAAAGAATTAATGCATTTTCACTATATAAATAATAGAGCCCAAACTTATCACCAGAACCCCTGACCCAGGGGCCATGAAATTCACAATTTTGGAAAAGACATCCTTGTGCATCATAACCATGCACTTAGTTTGTTTAAATAATACCCAGGGGCAGAGAAGAAGATTTTCAAAAAATTAATGCAGTTTTCACTATATAAGAAAATAGAGCCCCGCTCTAACACCAGAACCCCTGACCCAGGGGCCATGAAATTCACAATTTTAGAAAAAGCATCCTTGTGCATCATAACCATGCACTTAGTTTGAATAACACCCAGGAGCAGAGAAGATTTTCAAAGAATTAATGCATTTTCACTATATAATCAATGGAGCCCCACCCTAACTCCAGAACCTCTTACCCTGGGGCCATGAAATTCAAAATTTTGGTAGAGGGCCCAATGCTTGTTACAATCATGTCAACAGTTTGACTGCTTGGTGTCCAGGAGTAAAGAAGAAGATTTTTAAAGTTAGCATCAGTTTTGGAGGTTTTAGCCCAATCACTCGGGCCCCAGGGGGGCAGGGACCATGAAATTCACAAATTTTGTTCCCCTTCATCCATAAATGCTATAAGCCAAAATTGGTTGAAATTGGTTAAGCGGTTTTGGAGAAGAAGTTGAAAATGTTCAAAAGTTAAAGCACGATGGATGACGCACGACGACGGACGAAAACAGATAGCAATAGGTCACCTGAGTGACTCAGGTGACCTAAAAATCACCCTCTTCCTTAAAAAAATTGCATACTGATGAAATACAAGGTTCCAGACAATTTTTTTTAAACATCACCCTTTTTATAGTACTCATTTTGATAGCAAATACACTTTAATTAACATATCAATGACAATCAGTTAAAACTCTTTAAGATTACCTTTGAATTCTTCTAAGCTTGTGCATCCTATTGCTGTTAGTTTTGGTTTTATTGTGCTATCAAACATATAGAAAATCTGGAAATGAAATTTATAGAACTGTCATATATGTGTAACTTTAATATATGTGTTGAACATTATATTTGAAAGGAGACATACAGGTATGAAATATAGCAAATACATGTAAATCATTAAACTTATCAAATTTATGTCTTCAATGTTTTTACGTCTGACTCAATAAATACCTGCATACTATACACATAAGTACAAGATTTCTTTTCATTATATAATGACTACAATTCAAATGAATGCCAGAACATAAAGCAATCTCTATTGTATAGGCATCTTAATTACTTAAAAGTTAATGTGTTATATCAAAAAAGAAAACTCCGTTTTTATTGATAAGTGATATACACTTACATGAGAGGATAGTTTGGTTTTTATTGATCAGTGATATACACTTACATGAGAGGATAGTTTGGTTTTTATAGATCAGTGATATACACTGACATGAGAGGATAGATTGGTTTTATTGATCAGTTATATACACTTACATGAGAGGATAGATTGGTTTTTATTGATCAGTTATATACACTTACATGAGAGGATAGATTGGCTTTTATTGATCAGTGATATACACTTACATGAGAGGATAGATTGGTTTTTATTGATCAGTTATATACACTTACATGAGAGGATAGTTTGGTTTTATTGATCAGTTATATACACTTACATGAGAGGATAGATTGGTTTTTATTGATCAGTTATATACACTTACATGAGAGGATAGATTGGCTTTTATTGATCAGTTATATACACTTACATGAGAGGATAGATTGGTTTTTATTGATCAGTTATATACACTTACATGAGAGGATAGTTTGGTTTTTATTTATTGATCAGTTATATACACTTACATGAAAGGTTAGTTTGGTTTTTATTGATCAGTTATATACACTTACATGAAAGGATAGTTTAGTCTTTAATGATCATTTATATACACTTGCATGAGAGGATAGTTTGGTTTATATTGATCAGATATATACACTTACATGAGAGGATAGTTTAAGGGCATCAGACAAGAGACTCAGTAGTTGTCCATTGGTTACTGGAGGACTTGGTGGAGTTGTTTCCCCTTCTTTTGGAGTGCTAGCTTTATCACCACTCCCATTCTGTTTGTCTGTTGGTACAGACAGCTTAGATTTACTTGTGTCTGTCTCTTCTTTTTCAGTGGATTTCCTTTGTTCAATCTGGAGGAAAAACACAAAAAATCGCCCATAGTTTTTTTTTTTAGTTCCACTTACCGGGTAATTTAAATTTATCCAAATATCCTTCACACAAATATTTCCTTCTCTTTAACAAAGTATTTCCTTTATTTGTTCAAATGGTCACCACTGTAACAATCTGGACGTTTCTGGCCTGAATTTCCTTGTCAATGGAACATTTTCAAAATTATAGATGACAATCCTGCCCTGGGGCATCAACAGTGAATCCAGGGTCATGAACTTCAAAAGTTTGTCTGGAAACTCTTTGCCAGTTATAATCATGCAGTTAGTTTGCCTGCAGGATGTCCAGAATTGAAGAAGATAATTTCTGAAGATATGTGTTACATGATTTCCATTCGGTGGACCATAAAAAAGAGCAGAAAGGAACTTTAAAATTTTTGTTCCGCTTTAGATGCTACGCACCAAAACTGATTGAAACTGGTTCAGCCATATCAGAAAATGTTCAAAAGATATGACTTTTACTTAACTGACAACCAGGCAGCACAAAAAAGTGAAATGGATAGCAACAAGTCATTTGACTGTCTCCTAAGAATACAAACCAGTATGCTAATGGCGACAAAGCTTGTCAGCAAAACTCTACTGTTGTTGTAAAAATATTTATAATTTCATTTACATGACAATTGAAAATTTATGAACATGTTTTTGTAAAACAATATTACATTGACAGCAAAAATATAAAACTGATCATTGTATAGGTATAAAATTTCACAGCAACAAGTCAGTCCATAGTCTACAATAGATGTACACATAATTTCCAATATTAAAATTTTGAAGGTAGACCTTCCTTTCATTGCCAATTAAGAAATTTCTTTAACAGAACTTACTTCAGTCTTAAAGCATTCATCCAACCAGTGAGAATATCTACTCAGAAGCTGGAGATTTAGTTTCCAGAATCTATTGCAGAGGAGATCTAAATACACCTCATCTGACCAGCATCGATGTAGAGAGGCCCACAAGACAGCTGTAGAATGGAGGAGGAAATCGGAAGATCCTGAAATTATAAAATGTTGTAACTTGCTTTAATTTTGGTTTCAGAATGTACTAAAGACTTAGAACAATATTTTTTGAAAAAGTAATGCTGAAGTCTACATTTTCCTTTCTTGAAACCTGAAAATTTAATGATATATTGCAATGTTTTTCTGAAATATTGTGATGCATTTTGACACTTTTTTCCTCACAATACACAGCCCTTTGAGGACATTATTTTGAATCAAGTTCATGACTTGATCAAACCCCTGCTTTAGATACAACACTGCTGACATGATTTTTAATTCAATTTAAATTCACTCTGTAAATCAAAGCTCAAACAAATTTCTTGGCATGATTTTCAGGGTCTTTTTTTGCCTGTGGCTTCGAACTTGAGGGAAATCAAGGTCATGATCTACATGTATCTCTAGATCATGGACAAAAAAACAACTAAATGTTACTTTATTCCAATAAGTTATAAATGTCATGGCTCCAACTTGACTTGTAACATATTGTGAAGAAAAATGTGTCTTAATTCCCCACCTCAGAAAACTTTACTAATGTACACCTAGTATAAAAGAAATGGTAATCTAGTTGAGAATTATATTTAAATTACAATGGTGAATTTTCCCCAAACAATCCTAGATATCTATACCTGAGGGTTTGTTAAATGGAATGTCCAAGGCTGACTCTAATTCCCCAGCAATATCTTGAAACCTGTGTATAAGATGTGAAATCCACATAAATTCCATTATACATGTACATGTATTTTGTTCATAAAAAATTATCTTATTTTACCGTACTAATAGTACAATGGAAAGTTAAAAAACTTAAACTCTATCTTTGTAAACACTAGCTGACTGAACTTCAGTCAGTGTTCAAAAAGAAGGACAGTAATAAGAGCTTTTGCTCTAGAGTCACGGTGTAAGGAGTTGATCCTTATGTCGCTGGTTTGAATCCAATGTGCGACACAGATGAGACCATATAAATTAAAGGGTTTTTATCATGTCTCAAAATTTTTTGATATGACAAAGTTTACATGCTATTAAAATCATATATTTAAAAATCTTTGCTAGCAAATTAATATTTTTGATGTTTCAGCGATTCAAAGTTTGAATTTCTCAATATGCATATTTTGATCGCCGATGGTACGCACCATTGCTCTGACCTCATAGGTGTCAATCCTGGTCAAGCGAAGTACTTATTGTGTATACAAAAGGGCTAATTTGTTGTGTCTATCAAACCTGTTAGAAAATAATTACCGGTAAGTGACAATTGGATAATGAACAGCTAGTAAGGTATAATTTATGGCTTTAGGATGCACAAATGTGCACAAGAAAGGTTTTAGGAAGAAATTTTTTCCACATTTCCTGGACTTGGTCGAGAGATGAAAGGGGGGCCTTTTTCTGCAAATGCGATGGCGTTTATCTCCATTCAGAACAATAGTTTATGCCTGATAGATCACAATTTTTTTTCTCTGTCCTATAACATATTTTAAGGAAAGATACCTTAAAAAAAAAATAATAAATGACAAACACGCATTTTTTTAAAAGTCGCACAGAATCTCATAGGAATGTTGTGAACTTCGTAATGGTGTGCGGAGACATTGAAGAAGTGTCATTTCTAGTACATGATATTCACTGCTGGAAAAGATAGAAGATATACAGGATTTATTTATATATAATTAATTAAAATAATGATGAAGGAGAATTTCAAATTTCCATAAATGTTTTCGAAGTTAAACTTTAGAAATTTGTTCTATTTAGTCGAAGTCCAGAGTTGTCAACGGCTTCGTCTTCAGTGGCCTCTCCAATTGTTGGCATGTTTTCTGGTTATTTCTCTCTGCTAGACGTTCATACATAAAAGATTGACCATCCATAATCAAAGGAATGTAGTCGATGTCAAAATTTCAATCGGCTATATTGTGTTTTCTATTTATTTAGCGTAAAAATCTATTCAATATATTTCTTCTTACTATAAGCTTTACGAGTTCTATTGACCATTGACACCTATGAAATTTCAGTACCACGTGACCCCTATCTAATTAGTGGAGATTTTTGCTTTGAGGACCCTATATTACGGGCGTTTTATTGTCTAATTAAAGCCGTTTTCAACATTATTTTATAATTAAACGATAATTATATGTTTCAAGAATACAATAGTGTTTCATTTTTAAGAAATTTAGATACGTGATAAAAACCCTTTAAGGTCTCATTTCACAGTAGGTGCTGGCAGGAAAAAGATCCCTTACTGCTCAAAGGCTGTAAATGCTAAGTATAGGTCTAAATTTGCAGCCCTCCACTGGCAAGTGGTGGCATCTCAATATGAAGAAACATTCTTGAAGGGATGTTACACAACCAAACAAAAAGAAGGTATCAAAAGTTGTAAACCATTTTATGCTTTTTTTCCATATCAAAATCATGACACCCTTCATGTATTCACAGCTTTATAATTTGTGTCTATAATCACTGACAAACATGTGCATAATAAAGACACATGTTAGAGGAGTTGTGGTACTTACATGTACCTAGGCAGTTCATTTAAATGAATTCCAAAGACTAAATGGTTGGTGGTGTCCAAATGTACTTTTAAAAACCAAACCTTATATCCATGTTAGAGGAGTTGTGGTACTTACATATACCTAGGCAGTTCATTTAAATGAATTCCAAAGACAAAATGGTTGATGGTGTCCAAATGTACTTCTAAAAACCAAACCTTATATCCAGGATGGTAAATTTTATTCAGATTATCCCTTCATTATATGAAAACTAACCCAACATGTTATTAAGTTTGTATGAAAAACAAAGAATGTGACATTGTTTGAGGGTACCTCAATTCCATGTAGTTCACAAGCCTGACAAGGAAGACCTGTATTGCCTGACTGTGATGCACCTCAGTAAATATCAAATACATACCTTATCTGATAATAAACTGGTAAACTCCACTTGGTCATGAAGGCATGGTAACTGCTATGGTCCCGCAAATGTTTGACACTTGCCTGTGTCCCACACTGCCTTTCAAAATCATCCAAGAACTGCATGCTAGTTTTGAACCTCTGAAAGGAAAAAAATTGTAGAACTGTAGAATCTTATCAACAAAAAATATATCAGATTTACTAATTCAAAATCTAGACGAAAAAGTATGGTTTTAAGATTTTGCAGCTGTGTATAGGTGTTTTGGAGTCCTTATTTTTAAAAATTCTCTGAAATAAATCTATTCTGCTTTCCTTAGAGTAAAACTCCTACCGTTTCTCACTGAAATTGTAAAAAAATTATCAAATTTCTCATGAAATTTAAGCCTACTTTATGGAAAACATCAGGATTCCCTGGAGCAAAAATGGAATGTGTCCTGGCTTCGATGTTGGTCACAATTTCTGGCCATACAGCATTGACAAGAAAATCAAAGCCTCGGACAACCTCAGAGGACCTGCTTGACAAAACATTTGGTTTTCACTTATAAATGGCATACATGGCATTTATACTAGAACATGAATCCTAAAAACAATGTTCAAAGAATGACTAATGTAACCGCCTGTGTTGTATATATTTTTCAAAGTTTCAGTTTCTGTAATTGCTATGTCTTCATATATGCATAATTCAGTATCAAACAGATCAATTCATTCAAATGACTTTCACAGAAATAAAAAAATCAGATTTAAATTAAGCAAAGGAATTAAATAATGTTACTCAAGAACAGAGAGACACAAAACGAGCTTGAGGATAAAACTGTTTTCCATAAGATAACAGAGTCACACAAGGCAACATTGAAAAAGAATTTTAAAGAAAACTTTTCGATGAAATGATATAGAGAACCAGGTCAAAAGTCAAGAAAATATATACACACATCATGAAAGACCCTAGAATGTTTGTAATTTTATTCACATAACCCTAATTTCTGATAATTACTTCTTACCCTGAGCCTCCAGACAAAGTCACTTCCTTCAGCAGTCGACAGTGCTTCGGCATAAACTCCAAAACTTTGCCATACATTCCTTCCAAACCATTAGCTTTCAGACACTTTTCACTTATAACCTAGTTTTCAAATATTTCCATTCCTTAATTTTTTTTCAAAATGCATCTAGAATCTCCATTTTTAAATTTATGCTTAATAAAGTTATGATCACCAAAGCAACTTTAACATTGTAAAATAATTCATATCAAATGCAGTCTTCACGACTTTTTAATAAATCCAATCTTATACGAATGTCTTTTACCTCAGCCTAGTACCATAATTGGAATTCACAAAGTATCAAGCAATTTAAGTTAAATAAATATCTGACAACAAATAACAATCTTCCACCCAAAATCAAACTGTTACTCTGCTGTACAATACCTCTTCCATGTAAGGTTTCACAATGTTCTGTCTAAAAAGATTCTCTGCATCCTTGATTTTGTCAATTAGTGCATATGTCCTGAGACACTGGTGTAGAACCTGAATATTCCCTTTCTGGAGTCCCTCCACGAGCTGACCCTCCAAGCTGTACTGGAGTGTTGTTGTGATGTTGGCTATCCTCTATCATTACAATGAGAAACTTTACAACTAAGTACCATAGAACCACAGTAAAACGTGTCACTTCTGATATTTCTCTGAAGGATCTTTTTTACATTCTACGATATTCAATCTACTAGAAAGTAGCAGAGTCCTCTCAACCATATTTGATGTAGGAATTACAGCATTTGAAGATAAAATGTTTCTTGGCAATAAAAATTACTAAATTCAAAGATTAAAAAAATCAACTTTTCTAACTGATCTATAAAAAATGAAAGAAAAAGTGAGCAAGCTCACATACCCCACGCTCCCCTAAAACTCAACAATGCAACACGTAATGAATGGCACAGTGTATTTTAAATACACAGTATAATTCAAAAAGGGGCATTACTTGCAAAAAATCATCACATCAAAACTTCTTGCATATAACGACATTCAAATCTTTGTATGTTACAAATTTAATTGGGCTGAAGTTTCTAGATAAATAATGGAATCCAAATTTCTTGGTTATATACAAATCTATACATTATGGCTGAAATACCTACAAAGTTTCAGGAAATTCAGTGCAGGAGTTATGCTGACAAACTGTTATTTAAATTCCTCGGTGATTTCCATTTGTTAATGAGTGTAAGTCCATGTCCAACACATGACAATTTACACATTTAAATAATTGATGGAAACAAATTATGATGTAGTCATATGAATTTGTTTATATACTGTACTCATGAAATTATTTCAGGCAAAGCACCAATTTTAGGGGGAGAACTATCCAAGATTTTGTGTGTGTGTGTTAAATCATTAATATTTTGATCTCAAAATCAATAGGGGTCTTTTAAGGTCATAAAATATTTCACATAAAATTTCATTACAAAAGCTGATTCAAGTGGATTTCCTTATTACCTAGCTGGAAAGCTTCATCCATAATAGGCAAAACTCTTAAGGCAAAAATAATGGAATCAGAATTTCCTGGTAATATCCACATCTACACACTGTGTACTAAATATCTGCAAAGTTTGATTAAATTCTGTGCAGCGGTTTAAGAGGAGTTGCGCTGACAACCTGTTCATCTCTATATTCAAGATATGGCCAAAAATCTAAGTTGAAAAGTGCAGAAGTCCCAGAAAAATAATGGAATCGGAATTTCCTGGCAATATGCATATCTACACACTGTGTACTAAATATCTGCAAAGTTAGCTGCAGAACTGTAGCTCTCTACTTTAGCTGCAGAACTGTAGCTCTCTGCTTGAGAAAACTCGGACAGACAAAGCAGAGAGCTACAGATCCAAGCGTTGTAAAAACCTTCGATTTACGCCGCCGCTTTTTTGTTGCTCGCTTCGGCTATTATTTCTTGTATTTAATGCTTTCCCCTGCTTTAAAAGTGGTATCCAGTAATTATCCATATATTTTACTCCTATTCCTGACACTTTATTTACCTTTCAACAGTTCCAGACGGCCATAATATCAGATTAAAAAATGCATTCCGACGTCGACGTTGGTGTCCTCCTGAAACAACACGCCTGAGTTTTATTTATCTCATTTCTTTTTTACATACATGTTGTATTCTAATCTTTATAGACAATATACATGATATTTAAACCTCTTGAAATTTTTATATTTACATTTTCTTGACAAATATATGTTCTTTGAATTACTTCTTTTCGCACAACCCCCAATAACATGGACGTCAGAATGGGAATATTTTAAACCGACATTTCAAAACCATAAAGGGCTGTTAGAGACCGTTGAAAGGTAAATAAAATTTCAGGAATAGGAGTAAAATATATGAATAATAATTGGATACCACTTTTAAAGCAGGGGAAAGCATTAAATACAAGAAATAATAGCTGAAGAGAGTGACAAAAAAAGCGGCGGCGTAAATCGAAGGTTTTTACAACGCTTGGATCTATAGCTCTCTGCTTTGTCCGTCCGAATTTTCTAGCAGAGAGCTACAGTTCTGCAGCTACTGCAAAGTTTGATCAAATTCTGTGCAGCGGTTTAAGAGGAGTTGTGCTGACAAACTGTTCATCTATATATTCAAGATATGGCCAAAAATCTAAGTTGAAAAGTGCCGAAATTCCCAGAAAAATAAAGGAATCGGAATTTCCTGGTATTATGCACATCTACACATTGTGTCTTAAATATCTGCAAAGTTTGACCAAATTCTGTGCAGCGGTTTAAGAGGAGTTGCACTGACAAACTGTTCATCTCTATATTCAAGACATGTCCAACAATCTAAGTTGAAAAGTGCCGAAATTCCCAGAAAAAACAAATGAATCGGAATTTCCTGGTAATATGCACATCTACACATAGTGTGCTAAATATCTGCAAGGTTTGATGAAATTCTGTGCAGCGGTTTATGAGGAGTTGTGCTGACAAACTGTTCATCTCTGTATTCAAGATATGGCCAAAAATCTAAGTTGAAAAGTGCCGAAATTCCCAGAAAAAATACAGGAATCGGAATTTCCTGGTAATATGCACATCTACACATTGTGTGCTAAATATCTGCAAGGTTTGATGAAATTCTGTGCAGTGGTTTATGAGGAGTTGTGCTGACAAACTGGTCATCTCTGTATTCAAGATATGGCCAAAAACCTAAGTTGAAAAGTGCCGAAATTCCCAGAAAAAATAAAGGAATCAGAATTTCCTGACAACATGCACATCTACACATTGTGTCCTAAATATCTGCGAAGTTTGACGAAATTCTGTGCAGTGGTTTATGAGGAGTTGCGCTGACAAAAAAACAGGACTGACGGACTTACACACTGACTGACTGACTAACACACTGACTGACTGACTGATGGACAGGTCAAAAACATTATACCTCACGCAACTTGTTGCGTGGGGTATAAAAAAGCATGGAATCTTAATCAAACAGGTACATGTACATGTATCAAAAGAACCTAGAATATTGATCAAACAGGTATGTAAAGTGGATATTTTTACCGGTTTGATCTCCTCTACTAGAGGTAGTCCTTTGCTTTTTGTGACATAGAACTGAAGCTTGTTGAATTCATTGGCCACTCTCTCTATTAACTGTCCATTCAACTGTCTGTAAAGTTTACACATACATGATGAATACATAGTTTTACTTACATACTACAACATAGTGAACATAGTAATCACTCTTAAGATTAGTTTATATACTGTAAATGTTTTTTTTTTCCACAGGGTCATTATTCTGTTGAAACACAATATTTATTCAATCTGTGGGTAGAAAATTATGCAGACTTCTTGGATTGCCACTGTATGTCTTAGATGCACTTAAAGTACCCTGGGACAAATTTTCATGGAAAAATTTGTGACCATGTACATAGTATAAATTAATCCCATGTGGAAAAAAGTACATCTATAGTAATCCAAATGTGTATCACACATCTGTCAAATATTCACTGATCATTCCATATTAAATGGTATTTTAATCCACCTTGTCAGTCATCATTTATTGGTTATACAAGAGGCCCAAGGGCCTTAATGGTCACCTGAGAATAATACAACCCTGTAAAGCATTCATGGAATGGTTAACAGCGAGCGCCGCTCGTCACTGTGAGCTCTTAAAGCAACGCCTGGGCGAACAGAAAATTCGGACTTTGCACATTGATCCAAATGATTTTTTTTCTGCAGTTACCTGTGGTCCCATAACGCTTTGCGAATTGCATCTTGCTGCAAACAACGTTCTCGCGGTAACAAGAAGTTCGAAGAAAAAAATAAACTCACCTTGATTTGATGGATGTATAGCAGATAATAGTAGATTAAACCTTCTTTATTAAAATTAGCACTGTTCAGACTTCGTTTTGGTAATGCAATTTCCAAGCGACATCATGTGATGTCAGAGTCTAGACGTACTAAATGACACGTGCCATTTAAAGAGCCCGATCTAAATAAAACTGAATATAGGTATCTGCACTTGCCCTAACGGTCGCAACGTCAACATATTAACTATATAAATAACACAAACTAAACTGAAACTCAAAAACAAGAAAACAAAATAATGATCTTGCAGGGATCAACAAAAAAGACTGGTATTCAGCAACAACTCAGAAACTTGCCTGTACATGCCAGTTCTATCTACACTCTATCACCATCACCAAACATAACATGGTATTAATCCTTAGATAGGAAACATAATATTCACAGAATACATCCAGCATAAACCCCACACCATGATGGCCTCTCTTGGTGTTTAATATTTAATTTACATATAAACATATTGTTGTCTCATTTTTATTCATCTGTTATTTTCAAGTCTACCTGACTACTAAAATTAAGAAAGTATTTTTTATATATCATTATTCTTGTATCATTAATTTGCTTTAGGTCTATGTTTAGATCAACTTACTTATCAATTACACTACATGTATCTACACTGATTCATTATCAAAAGTGTATGATAAAGGGGAATAACTTCCTCTATCATTTACAAGCCTAGTTAGCCTACCTTTATTTGAAAACTAAGAGAGTACTTTTTTTACATTATATACTAAACATTCCTGTAATACATGCAATTCCTTTACTCAATTTACCTATTAATTACAATATCTACATTGATTAATGGTCCTCTACACTTTGTGACTAGTGATGTACTGTAGATCACTATATTTTAATATTTTCACAAGATTGTTGATTGGTATTTATGAGCAAGACAAAATTTTCACAAGTTTTGGTTATTGCTCTATAAAATCTTTACTTAGTAGAATTATACACAAGAAGGAAATTATAATTAATTTTTGAAAGCTGACAGTCTCACGTTATATTACGTGAAAATAAAGTTCTCATGAATAAAAAGTGATTTACAGAATACTGAGAAAAAAATTTTTACTTCCAGTTTTGTATAGTTTGTGTGCTAATGATTTGCTTGGTACATGTATCACCTTTAGGAAAGTTTTGCATTAATTTATTAATTTTGATGGGCTAATCCACTCCTCAGGCCCTGGGGGGGGGGGGGGGGGGGGGGCAGGACCATGAAATTCATAATTTTTGTTCTTCCTCTTCACCCATAGATGCTATATGCCAAAATTGGTTCAGCAATTTCAGAGAAAAAGCTGAAAATGTTCAGCGACCAATGACGCACGATGACATACAAAAACAGATAGCAACAGGTCACGTGAGTGACTCAGGTGACCTAAAAAAAGAGTTTACAAACAAGGAAAGATTATTATACACATACATCAAACAATTTTAAGTATAATAAAGAACTGCATCTTATCTACATTTATATTTCCACTAACACCAAGATCATTAACAAAATAAAAGACTACAAAAAATTGAGGCAAAATTGAGACAAATCTTTAAATTTACCCTGATGTTGAGCTGTTGTCCCTGGAATGAATTCCCAGTAGTTTCTCAATTTTCTCCACTGAGTGAATGATATTCATCAGCCTCTGTAGTGATGCCTATATTAATACACAATATAATCCACCACAATTAAAACTGATATTAATGAATTAATAAATGTATATGATGCTTTTGTTCTGCATTTTTCTTCTTATTTCGTGTTTTTAATACTGAATTGATGTAAATGTACATTTCAATGTTTCTTCTTACTGTAAATGCACTTTATTGGTGATCTTATTTTGGTCATTTTCCCAGTAACCATTCATTTGTATTCCCTTTACATTTATGTTTTTATAGCAATTCAAATTCATATAATTTATAACCATGCTGACTCATGATTGTACTATTACAGCAAAACAGGCTTATAGCAAAGTGTAAAGGATGGACAATTTTAATTTGTAGTAAGCATAATTTGTTACATCGGTTAAGTTCATACTGTAATACATTTTAGACTTCAGGGAATGAAAATCACTTCATTGTGTGAATTCATTTATATTAAGTATTATGAATACTGTAACAGTGTTTTTACAGTTTTTACTGTATATTCATAGTAAAAAAAATGTGCTAAATTATGCTTATAAAACCTCTTGTATTTTCAAAAAGCCCACCTTTTTCTGTCTAATTTGTTCCCTCTTTTTTAATTTCTCTTCAACTGCCTGGATTGCATCCTCCATTGCTGTTTTCACAGTCTTTATTTATAAATATAAAAGTAATGGATTATAGAGCATAAATAGGTACATGTATATCCATGTAGTTATCAACCTTAATTTGGGCTTAAGACACAGGACTTACAGCTGTGCCTAAAAAACAAAAGCTAAATCACATATCTAATGATCAGAGGCATTGATATTGATTCAGTATATATGGACATTAATGAAAAGTACTGTTGTGAAAAAAAAAAACCTCAGGGTTAATCACCTACCATGATCTCTCCCTTCAGATGCTCTAGTGGTGTTGTCAGATTCCCAATTGCTTTATCCATTCCAACCTTTGAAAGATAACCAAAAAAAAAATCATGAGAAGAATAAAATATTTTATTTTAAGTAGAATATGCTTGAATATTCTGACTCAAATGCTAGGTGTTTAAAATAAGAATTTATTAACAAAAATTCAAAATAAACATTTTTTGAATAAATGAAATTTACATGTAGATAAGATGTCTTTAATGCAAGTGCTTAAAAGAAACTTGATAAACAACATTCTATATTTTTTTTTTAAAAATTCAATTCTACTTTTTCTAGTCATTCATAAAAAACAATGGTATCCATAACCTTTGGTATCTTTATTATCTTGCACAGTTACAATAATGTGAATTATTTCAATAGGGTAGTTCTTTTAAAATTCATTAGAGTCCTTTAAGTACACAATTTCAAGAATATGAATGTTATAAAACATTGAAATTTTGATATAGTTATTTGGGTATCTTCAAACTGATAAGATCTTCCTGTTAGAATACATTAATGTAAATAAATACAAGAACACAGAAAAAAATGAAAGATCTGTAACTTTTTTGTTCTTAACTATCTTAAGAATAAAAGTTCAGATTATAGATTTTCTTGTGACAATAAAACCAAGCATTAGTTTAACTACCCAGTATAATATACAAGGGTTAGATATACTTATTGTATTCCAAAATATATTTTTTTTATGAAAATCCAAGTCAGAATATTTTAGTTGTAAAAGTATAAAAATGTAAAAAAAAAAAAAAGAAAAAAAAAAAAAAAAAAAAAAAAGAAGCACAATGTCAAACTGGACTGTGCAGCCTGTGTGTATGAAGTGTTTATACTGGTGATGCTCATAAATAATCATATACATGTGCATTGCTTTAAATTTTAAAAATTTACTCAATTATGGTCTATATGTAAATGTTATTGCACACACTTAGTAGTATGGCAAGATAAAGAAAAAATAGTGTGGGTCCACAAATATGAGATAAAAATTCAAAATCCATATTTTTGATGTGATCATGAAACTAGCTTAACATCAGACTGGGCCATGTGGCTTGCATATACAATCTATTTACACCTATAACTTTTGTGAAATAGTGTGAATTATTTTAATTTTTATACATTTACTAAATCATGGTCTTTTATAGCAGATTAATAATCATATACATTTGGCAGTGTGGTCATTATTAAGAAAATTATAGCATATTTGTCTATGAACTTTATGGACAATTAACCCTCACACAGTGTAATATACAATCCAACAGACCAGATGGACAACCCTCACACAGTGTAATATACAAACCAACAGACCAGATTTGTAGACAGGTTAACAAAGTCTGCATAGTCTTTGTTAATGAGCTCTATCATTGCACTCCTTAGTATCTTCAAATAAGTGTTCAGGTCATCTCGGAGGTTTTCTAATGGAACTCTTCTACGGCACTCAATTACAAACTGGTCCACATCAAAATTTTCCTGATGTAAAGAATGATAATATTATCTAACAATACATGTATTTTATATATATATATATATAATCATGGAAATTTGAATCTATTCAAAACAATGTGTAACATTTTCTTCTAAAATCTAAATACAGAAGGGAACAAAAGGAAGTACTAATCATTAAATTCATGTACATGAACAAAATAAACTTGCCGGTTTTTTGCCATGCAATGAAAGCTTGGACATTGAGTCTCAACTCTGATAATTCGAAACCCAAAATACACTGTATCTCAACATCTCATCAATGTCTAATTACTGAAGTTTACCTGTATATAAGACTGTTTGAAAATTTGTTTTCTCCCAGTTTAATCTTTTTAAATGGTTGGTTATGAAAAAGGATAAATTTAAGGGGCATCATGTAAATTAAATATATACAGTGTACTGTATACAAGGAAATTTTTGCCCCCATTTTATTTTGCCCCTGTCACAAAAGGACAATTTAAAACAGAGTGGATTCAAATTAAAATGCATTATTTCTCTTAAGAAAAACTTTGTCTTGGTGAATTTAAAATGAGGCAAAATTGTTTGAAAGTGTGAGAAGAGAAAATAACCTGCATGCAGTAACAGAAAATTTCATGATCAAGTTGCAGAAATGTGTCCTTTATATATAGGTTGGTACACACGGTAGGATTTGTATCACTCTACAGGTATTATGATACCAGGGATTAATCTAGGTTTTGGGGAAAACTACCCTTTCTAGAGAAATTGGGAAAATCAGCCAGAGGTCTGGGGGCCACTCCATGTTGTTGAGTCATCTTGTCTTGGCCTAAGGATTCAAAACTGTGCAGCCAGCCAGGGTTTTATTTGGATAAAAACTATTTACACTGGATATTTTTGAAATAAGTTCTGGGACATCATTTTCACCAGTGCATATGAGGATTGTTTTAACTTTTCTCAAGTAAGATGTTTCTTTACTTTTTTTCATATTGTGCATTACTTTTGGTTCTTCCCTTGTTCTTCCCCGCGATTTGTGCTGCTGGCACTGCGAGCTCTTATGACAACACTTGGGCATAGAGAAATTTTGGACTACAGCAAAATTTATCCAATAGAATTTTTTCCACAGTAACCTCAGGACCCACAATCCTTTGCAAATTGCATCGCGCCGCAAACTACATTCCCACGGTAACAAAAAAAGTTCACCAAAAATTGAGCTCACAATTTAACATTTGTTTAGCGGATATTGTACAAAGAAAGTAGATTAAACGTTCTTTGTTAAAAAACGCACTTTTTGGACTTCATTTAAGGAGGAGAAGGACCTTGAGCTGAAAAAATACTTGTCATTCAATTTTTTTCATATTTTGTACATTTCTAATTAAGTATGTCCCACATATCTTAAAGCAGTTATATCATTAGGTTTCTTACCTTATTTTGGAGATATTGATTGACAAATACTATGCCCTACCGTATAGAAGTGGAGTTTTAATTCTCCATGTTTCCGGTCTCATTACCCTGTCCATAATTGGATTTTTTAATCATATATAAAAAATATCAAAGTGGGCATGTATCTTTTAAAGTATTTCAGAGTATAACTAGGATTTAAAATTCAAAAAAGCAAGTTTTGTCTATCACACTGCATCTGGATAGAGAAAATTACGCACTTTTTAAGACACCTTTAACAATAAAAAACGTAATTTACAAAAAATTCTATCATTCAATATTTTTTAATTTACGTTGAAATGCAAACCCTTCAAATTATTGATTAACTGTAAAAATTTCGGATGGTGAAGCTGACCTCATTATTTCACAGGACATCGTTAAAGAGGACATAAACATGACAAAAACGTGTCATGTTACATTTCTCGAGTACGGGAAAAACCGACTATGACGTCACACGTAAGCTAAATAAGCGAAATAAGATGTACCTACATATGATTTCAGTCTTCAGCCATGCAGAAATAGTTTTTGTGTTTCACGTTTCTCAAAATATTTCAACATATACTGATTATGGCCTGTTTTTACATAAAAATACCACCCCTGTGTTCACCGAGTATGATCTTGCTGTACTTACAGATCGTGTATGACGTCACCGACTTGTTGGACGCGCAGTTTAGGGAAACAGAGGAGTGGATCAATCTTTTTCATTATTTGTTAATGTTTACAAGAATGTTAAAACTATTTTATTTTTTTCATATAAAATGGTAATTAAAGTTAAAATATTGTCAAAAAATTATACAAGAATTGATGCTTTACACGTTTTGCACTTATATAAACGGAGACTATGACGTAGTTAAACAGAGTCATGTGACCATGTGTCCTTCTCCTCCTTAAGGGAGCCGACTGGGGTTTTTTTTGTGAGAAAACTACTATAGAGAAACTCTTTAATTTTATACCATATGTACCTTACACTGACTTCGGTATACATGCAAAGTTTAATGAAAATCTACCGTCTGGATATTTTTTAGGGACCATCTCAAAATACAGGTACATTTACTATAGGATTATATAGGAAAATACCATTTTTTCGCACTTCGAAGCAAATTATACAAATGCTACTATAGACTTTTTGCTCAAATTATACTATTTGATGGGTAATACTATATTGTACATTTTGTGCATGAAACACAAAATTCTACCGTCTGGTTTCCAGAGGGAGCATCTCAAAATGTCAAAAATCATGTTATTTTCCTGTTTTTATGGAGTACAACAAAACATGACAGATACCACAGATTTACAGAAAAAATAATAAAAATGATTGTTAGATTCTCAATTTCCTATGTTTAAAATTTCAAGAGTATGTATTTTATACTTTTTATTTTATGGCATAATTAATGACCCCGCTTAAAGAACTTCGGTTATTCATAACGTCAAAAACACACAATTACAACGTCTGTATACCCATCATTTGAAAAATCGTTCAAAAAATCAGTTATTTAAAAACGTAATTAGATTTTTTAACCTTAGATTTCCTACATCTGTTAATTTTTATAAACTACCGGTATGTAAAAATAGTTGCTTTAAAAAAGTAAATACGCTTTGTTTTACTATGCTGCGAAGTATTGCGCAATGAAAACCCCAGTCGGCCCCCTTAAGAAATAAATAACAAGTTTAAAAACTTCTCTGAGAAATGAAGTGGGTCGGTCACGTGATCAAATCCTGTGAAGGCCAAAGGCCTTCCCAGAAGATTTGATCACGTACTGACCCACTTCATTTCCCAGTGAAGTTTTTAAACTTGTTATTTATTACTTATATATACATTTGAGACGGACAATCGAATATAAATATTGGACTAACTGTTCGTCGTAGATTTTGACAAATTACGCAAGGTGTAAATCGGCTCGAAAAGCGGTTACGCTTCAAATTCATCTGGCAAAGAATTCTGTTTTGAAGGGAATATTCTGTGAAAGGCTACTTGTGATCAATTATAGTGAGCATATTGGTGTCTGGGAACTTTTGTATTCATGAGAACCCATATTCGATGTTAAAAAAACACAAGAAACACGTCCGATGTTTGATAATTAAATGTTGGAGGAATTTCGGTCGGAAAGGGATGGATGAAGACACTTGTCCGGACCAGTTAACTTGGAATCAGGTATAAAATTGGATCAGAAACATAATATCTACGATTTCAGTAAGGCATATTTATTATGATGTTGATACGGAGACACTGGCGACAGCTTACATTGTTAAGACAACGATCTCGATGATGAAGGTGTGTCTACCGAACTTCCGAAGTGCAGTGTTTGTCATCTGTTTGTGTGATTGCGTGATTGCATTACATTGATATTTTCCAACAGATTTTCAAATTTATTGTGAGTAAAGTTTAATAAAAAAAAAATTATAGCATTCAGAGGTCTACAAGAAAAATAAGGGTAAACGTTGAGACTATGCAGCTCAGACATGAAACTTATAACACGTAGTTTTCTATTCTCTATGTAAAATCCATCAAGAACTGTGTTAAATACTCTTTTACATTGTTAATAAAATAATTATTATTTTACTTACGTATTTTGTACATTTTTATACATGAAAAACATGCTATATTTCTAAGGCCAAATAAAAAATATGTGTGGTTCCGGTTACCCGACCTTCCCTATTTTATACCCCCGACCCTAAACTTTTTTTGGGCAATTTTCATATTTTTTCTGGAATTTTCCCCCGATTTCCATCAATGGCTCCGATTTAAGTTTTAGTTTCAGCAATGACAGCCTCCTTGCAAAACATAGTGCAAGTGTTGAATAGTGTTAAATCCAAAGCAAGCTAGCATGTAGGTGTCCCCTACCAATATTGACCAGTATATTATCACACCACATCTAAATGCCATTTGCAAAGCAGTGATAGGTATTATTTAGAAAAATTAAGAAAATCATGTTCAAAAAAAAAAAAAAAAAAAATCCCTACCTACCTACCCTAATTTTTTTGAAAGTGTAACCGGAACCACGCATATTTTTTTGTTTGGCCTAAGTAGAGTTAGTCTTTTTATGTAGATATTACTGCGCTGTGTGATTAGGTCACGTAATGACCTATGACCTTTGAAAAATTTCATACAGGTATGAAGATATTTGCTCTCTGTATGTTTTTATAGGAGAGAGATACCACAAATGTATATATTATGGAAATGCAACTAATATAAGACGTCATGTGACGTCACAGTGCAGTCTACCCAAATATCTCGTGCAGTTGGAAGAGGCAGTTCTAATTTAAAAGTGAAAATAGCCATTAAATACCAAATACACAACTGTACTCGCCCCAACGGTCGCACCGTTGACATATTATGTGCAAAAGGCCTAGAGAACAGAGCGTATAAGATGTCCCCGTGTGTAACAGTTAAACATTGAAAATCTTGGATCTATATAACGCGCATACGCTCAATACCTACTTGCATGAAAACATCTTTATCAAAACACAGGGACGCTGGTCCGCTCGGAAGAGGCAGTCCTTTATTGGGATCACCTGTCATCTTATTACATTGATAAACTTATCGAATTTTAACTTGAAGTTGAAGAGAAAAATCTGAAATGTTGGCATACACTAAACTGTCCTTCAAGAAAAAAAGAGTTCTAAATATTGCATTCCAAGCCCGATTTTATAAAAGAAAAATTGGGAATTCCCAAACCAGGAAGATAAACAAAAAAGTTCTTTTTTGACATTTTTTGCAAATGTCAACACAAACTGTCTTTAATTTACAAAAACAATCATTGGTCATTACTTGCTGTCTTATATTCGCTGTCACGTGTCATCTTGCATACTGCAGATGAGTGATGGAGAGAGGTAAGTACAATTAGGCCTACAACAGTTTCAGTGTTTGCCGTTTGAATTGCGCAGCATTTTTTTTTTTAGATAATCAAGCATTTCTGATTTGTAACAATTCAATTTTTGGGGGGAAGTGAAACTGCATTGAATTCATTGATGTAATATTAAGTGAGTAAGTGAAAAAAAAAAGACAAGTTACTAAAATTTTAAGTCCCATGCATCTTAAAGGTCCAAGTTTCTATTTTTCAAAGAGAATCCAAACAAAGAATTTGTCAATGGTTCAAACAAAATGAATAATGGACACCATATGCTACTACACTGATATATCCTTGTCAACTACAGTAATTAACTATTTGCACCATGAATAATTATAATATTAGTCACATAACCATGTAATAATAACTCTAACTCTTTATAATTTTAAATTAAAATATATGAGAGTGAATCTAGGTCAACATCAATATATGTCGATCATTTTAAACTTGGGAAATTTCATTAGGTATTATTATAACCTCAGTAACTTAAAACAAAGTTTGGGGTACAAAGGGATTACCATATGTCTGCCAATTCGGTTTCATCTGTCTATCTGAGCCACTTTTTGTCCATGTAATATATAACTTTTCATTGGAAAAAAATTAGAAAATTATATACTTGACACAAAAGGTTGCATATGACCTGAAGGTGTGTCATGACCCTAATTAATTCTTGGTCATTTGGTCAAAGTCACAAGGATCAAAATTGTAAATTCTTATACAGGCCACAAGTTTTGATGACAATTTCCTATTTTTAGCCAGGCTAGGTCATTTGAGCAACTTTTAGTAAGATTGAGAATCGATCAAGAGTAAAAATTCTTAATAATCATAAAATTGTGATGAAAATATTGCAGAAGATCAAAAATGACAAAGAATAACGGTATACTGGTACTTGTATGCTAGCAGCTTTATTATTATTGGAAGCTAGTGTCATGACCTTAAATATATTACATATGGCAAATGCAAAGGCCACATAATGTGGCAAGGTAAAGTTCTTTAAAATTACAGTTTTGAGTACAATGTATCATTTACTCCTGCCCTGATAGTGCCAGTGGAAGGAAGGGGAGTATTCCCATTAGGAAAGCTCTAGTTTTAATATTGTAAAGTATTTTTATTTCAATTTCTTCAGAATCAAAACTCAAAACATTCTGGTGTAAGCAATCAACTTTTTTCAAACAATTCAAACAGAGTTTGATAATTCTTACTTGTATCTTATTCTAACCCCCCCCCCCCCCCTTTCCCACCACCATTACCACATCCCATCCTCTTACAACAACACCATATTCACCTTCTCTGTTCCTTTCATATCTGAAACAGATGAACTGCATAACTAACTTACCAATGCAGATTCTTTTGAACATTTACTCATGTTGATCAGAGTTATATATCAGTTTAACTTGGTTGATTAAAATAATTGAAAAAATTATACGTGTGGTGCAATACTTTTCATTTGGATGGATTATGATTTCATAGGGCAGCTTTTATATATATATATATATATATATATATATATATATATATATATATATATATATATATATATATATATATATATATATATATATATATATATTGGGGAGGGCAGGGGGAGGAGAAGGAGAGTGAGGAGAGAAAATAATTTCATTTTAGCTGAGTACATAACTGAACACTATTGATGAATACTGCTTACAATTTAAGATATAAGTTTTGGCTGGGTATTTTTTTAGCAATTCCTTCCATAATACATGTATTGCATGTGACGTTAAACTTCAATCTGTAGTTCACTTCCAGTTCATTAAGGCTCAAACTCTTTCTCTACCCATGTGCTTTGATGTAGATTCATTAGAAAGTACTCATACTATAACCACTAGCTGATATGTTTGAGGTTTTAATAAAAGGAGAACATTATACTCTAGGTGTTTTATGTAGTTGTATGTTTATTTATAACATGAACATGCAAAATATTTTGCCTGGATGAAATATTAAAATTCCCCCAAATGAAGTTAAAAAAAATTCACCCAAATGATAGAAATGACATTTGAAAAGCCCTCATGAAATGTAACCCCCTGTAGTGAAGATTTAGAAGTGTTAACTATACATTGTTTTATTTTATTTTAGTGGTTTTATTATCAAAAGATGAAGCAGTGAAGAATCAGGTTGACAAGATAAAGAATAAATTTGAGGAAAAGTATCACACCTGTAGAGCATTTAGAGAAGAATGTCTCACAGGTACTTAACTTATATGTAGTAATTTTTTTAAGTAATTGCCACAGTAATTTATTTTTAGGCCAGGGTTGAAGTTTTGAACTTATGAACCTATTGTATGTTTGATTGCCTGTCTGTTTAGAACTATATTCAGATTTTAAAGTTGTGGTTAATTGAAGGTATAATTTTCTTAAGTGTACAGGATAAATTGTCATCATGTTTTACAAATATGGACTCGTTTTTTACTTTTAATATTTATAGGGCCAGAAGACAGTCAGAGAGTGGCCCAGACTCTGAATGACGAGAGTGCTATAATTATCGCGGTGCTGGACCAGACACTTCACGAAATTCTAGATGACAAGAAATCCAGAAGGCTGTTGAACAAAATAAGAGGTAGACCAAATCTGTCGTATTACCCTCAATAAAACCCTGGGACTGAATTAAAAATTATTAATTTAAGTATGATATTCTTATATATACCTACCAGGTAATATCAATTTTTACCTGAACCAGAAAATTTCAACTGAGCTTATTTGATCAGAGTTTGTACATTGTCTGTCTGTTGTCTTAAATTGTCATTAAATTTTTACATTTTTATTAGCTCTACTGGTCAGAGACCAGAAGAGCTTATGCGATAGTAAGGTGTCCGTCGTCCGTCCGTCTGTCTGTCTGTCCGTCTGTCTGTAAACAATTTTTCAAAACGCTACTCCTCCTACAGTTTTGGTCCGATTTCAATATAACTTGGCACACAAGTAGACTACACTAAGATACATAATTTAGTGCATCGGTTTTTGATTTCGATGGACGGTGTTGCCATGGTTACTAAAAATAGAAATTTCTGTGAAATTCCCTTAAAACGCTACTCCTCCTACAGTTTTGGTCCGATTTCAATATAACTTGGCACACAAGTAGACTACACTAAGATACACAATTTAGTGCATCGGTTTTTGATTTCGATGGACGGTGTTGCCATGGTTACTAAAAATAGAAATTTCTGTGAAATTCCTTTAAAACGCTACTCGTCCTACAGTTTTAGTCCGATTTCAATATAACTTGGCACACAAGTAGACTACACTAAGATACATAATTTAGTGCATCAGTTTTTGATTTCGATGGACGGTGTTGCCATGGTTACTTAAAATAGAAATTTCTGTGAAATTCCTTTAAAACGCTACTCCTCCTACAGTTTTGGTCCGATTTCAATATAACTTGGCACACAAGTAGACTACACTAAGATACACAATTTAGTGCATCGGTTTTTGATTTCGATGGACGGTGTTGCCATGGTTACTAAAAATAGAAATTTCTGTGAAATTCCTTTAAAACGCTACTCGTCCTACAGTTTTAGTCCGATTTCAATATAACTTGGCACACAAGTAGACTACACTAAGATACATAATTTTTTGCATCAGTTTTTGAATTCAATGGACGGTGTTGCCATGGTTACTAAAAATAGAAATTTCTGTGAAATTCCTTTAAAACACTACTCCTGCTACAGTTTAAGTCTGCTTCTAATATAATTTGGCATACAAGAAGACTATACTAAGATACATAATTTATTGCATTGGTTTTTGAATTCGATGAACAGTGTTGCCATGGTTACTTAAAATAGAAATTTCTTTGAAATTCCTTTAAAACGTTACTCCTCCTACAATTTTGGTCTGATTTCAATCTAATTTGGCACACAGTTAGAATACACTACGATACATAATATGTATTTCTGGGTTTTTTTTATTTGGGTGAATGGTGTTGTCATGGTTACTAAAAATAGAAATTTCCGTGAAATACTTTCAAAACGCTACTACTTCTAGTTTTCATTTGATTTCAATATAACTTGTCACAAAAGTAGACTACATTAAGATACATAATTCTATTTATTGTTGCATGTTGCAATGTTTCAAATCCAAGTGCTACTTTTCTTTTGTTATACAAACAGACCAGTAGAGCTACAGTCTCATCAGAGACTTCTGGTCTCTTTAAAAACCACAATTTTAAACTTGCCACAAAGCATCATTAGGTCAAATCTTCAAAAATGAAATTTCTGAAGAAAACATGGCTCAGTTAATCATATTTATATTACAATTTTTGTAGATCGTATCAAATCTGGTAGGGTTGTGCTTATTAAGTATGAAATCAAAGAAAAAGAAATTCAAGATTTCTTAGATGACATCACTGAAGACCAGCCATGTACTCTACATGATCTAACCATGGACAACGTATCCCAGATTGCCACACAGATATGGGATCTTTCTCTGGTGAACCGCAAACCTACAGAATCAGATGGTACATTAAAATTACTGTGCTTTATGACATCAACAAAGCATTTTTTCTCTGCTTAACAAACCAAGTCCTCACTTCAAATTCCTGCAAGTTTTTGCCATATAAGCTCTGTATCCTACTGTACAATATCTATTAATCCATCTTTTGTGAAGTGAAGTAATATATGTGATGATCAGAGGAGCATGTTTTAAATCACTAAAAATCTGACTTTATTGTTATTTCCAAGAAATCAATGGAGGCATATCCTCCCCAGCAGGAACATCATTAGATATGGCAGCCAACAAACTCAGCAGCAATGAATGGAATCCAGTAAACAAAGACTCCATATTCAGAGACAACTATGCCAGAGAAACAAGTGAGTTGCGTTGTTTAGGCAATGAGGAAAACAAAGGTTTAATCTTAAATATGAAATCTGGAGCACAAAGATTCTTCTTTTTTTTGGGAATAAAATGTGTTATAGATAAAGATTGTTTAATATAAATTTTGGAGTTTATTTTTGTTGCCAAAGATTCATCCTGTGATCCCCAGGAATCCCACAATTCCTTCCGAGATAGTATGAAATCCTTTGATTATGATGACTGTGGGTCATCCCTGTCCAGCAGTGGGAAGGATGGAACAGTCAGAATAGCTGAGGATTTCCCAAAAACAGGTACAAGCAAAGCAACAGAGCCATCTGTAGGATTTTATAAGGAGAATATGTCCTTATGAAATTCATTCAAATGTATATCATTATGAGGCAGTACCTTGATTTTAATTCACAGAAGATGCAAATTTAATGGTGGAAAAGTTAAGCAGCAAATTACAGGTAGTTTTACCAACTAAAGATGGAGGACAAGCCAATATTCCAGGAAACAGAGATTCTCTACAAAAAGATAGATCTCCATCTTCTCTTCCTGAGAAATTTGCAACAGATGACTTCAAAAGAAGAGGACAAAATGCTTGTCTCCAAATACCCGGCATGCAGTGCTCAGCAGTATCAAACGACAATAATCAAAAGTTCCATTCAGTGCCTTGCGTAACAAAGCTGAAGGTAAAGCAGAGCAGTAGAGAGATTACCCAACCTGTGGATGGTAACAATGTAGAAACCAAATTAGTCCCTTCTAGCCAGAGTGATGGTCATCATGATTTGCATGTTGGGAGTAGTCCACTTCCGAATGTTTTTATGGTGAGAGAAAGCCCTAGGCAAGAGGGTTTAGTGAATCAGCCTCAATCTACACAAAGTCTACAGGCTCCAAGTCAGCTCCCAACACCTAGTCCCAGTTCCACCTTTACAGAAAACTCCCAAATATTGTCTTATTCCAATCTGTCAGTCCCAATGCAAGAGTCTTGCAATATGGCAGAGAGAGAGTTGGGCAGAGACAGAGCAATGTATACTGAATCCTGCCAAGGGGTTACTGAACAAGATTCTCAGCTGAGTTATGCCACTTCCTATCAGCAAGCATACTGCTCAATTCGCTGTCAGAAATGTAACCAAACCAAAGATAATGTCAGGTTATTCAGCATTGTTCCTCATCAAACTGGCCTGGCATCACCAACATCAGTCCCACTTTGTTTCAGTATTCCAAATTCCTCTGGTCCAGAGGCAATGACATTTTCCTATTCATTATGTCGTGAATGTAGCCAAGATGTGCCTTTCATAGATATTCCCATCAGGCAAAACTCTTTTTCGAGTACAAATGGAACTCTTGACAGTTCCAACTTGTTCCCTCCTGCTCTAGAGCATTCAGTACCTGACCTTAAAATGACACAGCAAGCTTATCCAATTCATACTTCCAACCTTGAAAAGGGTTCTGAGTCACACCTGCAAAGAGATGCCATACCCAGACATCAAAGTTCCCCTTCAAGGTTGAATTACATGCAACAACAGCCTACCAATAACTTTGGTCAACCAGAGTTTAGACGTGAAATTTTGGATTTAGATCAAAGAATGAGACATTCCCCAGTCCCAACATTCCAGAGAAATATACCTGTAAACTCAAATGGAACTCAGCAATCAAACACAGGTAAAACATTTAGAAGTATTACACACAATTAAAAAAAATATTCTTGTTTGATCAGGTCTTTTCAAAATCTTTATTAACTATTCTGTATTAACACACTTTGCCCCTACTATGTATTTGACAAGGACATGTAGTGTTAAGCATATCTTTCTTCTACTATTTTTCTATTTAACTCCATTTCAAAGAAAGTGCTACAGACATTTTCATCAAGCTTCATACACAAATTCATTTTGGTTGGGACATTTTAATGTTGTAATACATGTATTTTGTGACCTTGCAATTTCATATGGCCTTGACCTCACAATTCTGATATTAAATTCAGTCAAATTTCAGAGAAACTTTCAAAAAAATTACTATGGAATCTGACCTTGTCTTTCCCAGTGACTATGACTTCACTTTTCCTCAGTGTTGTTTTTCACTGTCTAAAGAACTTTGACGAATTCCATCATGTAGCTTATAAGATGCATCAGTGAGAGCATTCCAGAATTTATGACATGGACTTTGACTTCAGGTTTCCATTTATTAATGCTAAATTTATTTATATCGACATTTTGGAACTATTCAGTACTGGAGAAATACATATTGGCAGAAGGAGGTCAACTGTGTCAAAATCTTGTCACCTTGACCTTTCCTCATGACACTGTGCATTATTGGGTTGTAGACTTTGCTCATTTTGTTGAATAGTGTAAGAACTTTATAAACAGGCCCGGGATCATGCATACTACTAGATTATTAGTTTAGTGTGGGACTTTGCCTTACTTAAACACAACATCCTTTGAGGTGAGCTCTGTAATCTCTGATTACCTATGTTTGAAATTCTTCGGCAACATAGCTTCTTCTTTAAGTTAATTTTGCTTTATACTTCTATGGATCCTTTACAGGGTTGTATTATACTCAGGTAATGCTTAAGGCCCTTTGGCCTCTTGTTTATTTGAATAGAGATTACATGAAAAAATTTGTCAAGAATTTTTTCTATGACTAACTGATTAATCAGCCTGAACATCTTGCAGTTAACTGATGATTGGAAATTCTGTATTCGATTGCCATCCCTGTAAATAATTGTAATGTTTAATATTTTTAACAGATAACACAAAGGTCCCTTGTCCACCATTATCAGCAATTCCAGGGAGCTTTCAGAATACCCAAAGTAAAAGTTTCCAAAGCCATTCATTAAACTCCAGATCTTTCCAGAGGCAAGGACAGAACTCAGGCTCTTGTCCCACTCTACAGAATCCAGTAAGTAGGGGATGAGACTGTCAATGTATATTTTAACAATTACTTGTTATACACTCAAAAACAAAGTTTTATTTTGAAGGGAGGGGGGAGGTTATAATGGAATCATGCCCATGTGTCTTTCCGTCTGTCTTTACAGATTATCTCTAAAACTATTTAATTTGAATTTTCAGACTTGGTAAATAAATAATAAATCCTTTGCACCTGGTATATCTTCAGACTGATTTGTTGATATTCAAAAGAGTATTAAGGTCTTTTTTTTTAAAGGTTTCATTGTACACATATTACTCCTGTGATTAAATAGAGTAAAAGTTGTATCTAGACATAACTTTGAAACTTCGAAATTTAAGAAGTCCATACTTGAACTTAAGGTAGCTTTTGGTCTGAAGTGTGTCTTGACCATTTACCAAGGTCGTTTGGATTAGTTCAAGGTCACAAGGTAGAGAAGTATAAAATTATCATTCTAATAACAACTTTGAAGTGGAGGAAGATGTTTATACTTGAGTCAAAGATTGCTTGCGACTGGTTGGTTTGTCCTGATGTGAACTCAGCTTATTTGGGTCAGGGTCACATATAAGTTTTGGCCAGCTTTGAAGCAGGGAAAGTTTAAAAAATTATGATAGGAACATACTGAAGTGGAATAAGTTTGGAAGATTAAATTTGACCCTGAACAAAGGTCATTAAGACAAGTCAAGGTCAAATGTTTAAGAAGTGTCAAATTCTGAAGATTGTTGAAATGTAGAATTCTAAAAGACAAAAAAATCGTATATGAAGGAGTATTAGGAATCATTAATATTTTAACACAAGGACCTCACTATGGAAGGTCATAATTTCATATTTAACTCTAAGATAAAATATGTCCCTTCTTTAGTTGCCTGTATTGGAATGGGGGGGGGGGGGGGGGTTAGAGTTGTAAGTTAGTCCCATTGGAACAGTTCTCAATGAAACCAGACTTTATTAAGATTGGGTGGTCACTAGAATTAATAAGTACACTGATTGCCAAAATTTTAAAGTGGTCCGATAGTGGAGTTTGGGTCAGAATTTTATAGCAATATATATATATAGCCATTCCCTTGATAGCAGGCCTAATTAATTATACGGGGGATATCACCTTGTCTGTCCACCCATCCATCTGTCTGTGCAATCTTGTCCAGGCAATAACTTTATTATGGAGAAACACTGGAAGCTCATACTTGGTACAGGGATTGCTTATCACCAAAGGGTGTGTCAAGTCATTAACCCAAGGTCATTCTGGCAAGTTCAAGATCCCTGGCTAAAAAAAGTATAATATTTTTATCCTGACCATAACTTTGTAATGGAGAATCACTGGAAGCTCAGACTTGTTACAGGGATTGCTTGTCATCCAAGGGTGTGTCCTGACCTTGACCCAAGGTCATTTCAGCAAGCTTAAGGTTACTGGCAGGAAAAAGTATAAAATTTTGTCCATGTTATAACCTTGACTTTGTAATGGAGGATCACTGGAAGCTCAAACTCTGTACAGAGATTGCTTATGATCTTAGGGTGTGTTTTGACCTTGACCAAAGGTCATTCCAGCAAGTTCAAGGTCACCGGCAGAAAAAGTTTAAAATTCTTTTCGGGGCTTTAACTTTGTAATGGAGAATCATTGGAAGTTCATACTTGATACAGAGATTGCTTATGATCCGAGGGTGTATTCTGTCCTTGACCCAAGGTCATTATGGCAATTTCAAGGTCACTGGCAAAAAAACTATACAAATCATGTCCAGGCTATAACTTTGAAATGGAGAATCATTAAAAGGTCATTCTCTATAGAGAGATTGCTTATGATTCGAGGGTGTGTCCTGACCTTGACCCTTGACCCAATGATCCTCCATTACAAAGCCATTCTGGCAAATGCAAGGTCACTGGCAGAAAAGAATAAAATTCTTGTCCAGGCTATAACTCTGTAATGGAGAATCATTTGAAACTCATAAATTGTACAAATTGTTATGACCCAAGGATGTGTCATGATCTTGACCTAAGGTCATTCTGGCAAACTCAAGGTCAATGGTATAAAATATGTAAAATTTATAACAGGTCTATAATTTTCTAATGGAGAAACATTGCATATCCATATTTCATTGAAAGATTACTAATGACCAAAGGATGTGTCATTTTTTAACCAAGGTCTTTTTGACAAGCTCAAGGTCAAATTTACAAAATTTGAATGGGCACTTTAAAGAAATTGTGGCGGGGTAATTATTTTGTGAGCTTGTCACAGTACCTTTAGTTTCTAACCTATGAAATATATGTCTTAAAGTGATATAATGTTGATTTTATTGTTGTAGCATTCTTTTGGTGGAGCTTCATCAGGAATGCCAGCAAAACCATATAACAAAATATATGGCAATGATTGTGGTTGGTTTCTTGTCTACTTTCAATTCTATTATTAGAGTATTTATCCAGATTATTAAGTCATCTTTGTCTCTCAAATGACCTATTGTGATTGTTGACCATTTGGCATTATTGCAATTATGCATAAATTGCCTAGAAACATTTTCAAATTAATCATTGTTAATATGTTAGGTCCAATTTTAAACTCCTTTATTTGAGGACTAAGGAAAGGTACTGCCTGTTTTACTTTTAGCTGCTGGAGCCTCTGATGCATGTGGTAATTATGATCACCTTCCCTTAATGGATCTGAGTCACATTGTCATAGAGTACATCCAGTCACAACTGGACTTCGCTGGAAGCAGCTTGAACTGGGAGCGGCTAGCTCATCTTCATGGCTGGAACTTTGGAATGATTTACACCATCAAACAAAAATGGCAGAAGAGAGTGATTGAAAGTCCTTTCCTGGAACTGATTCAAAATTCCCAGAATTTCCAGAATTACACCTTTGGCCAGCTCAAAATGGATTTAGAAAGAATTCCTAGGAAAGATATTTTGGAAAAATTGCGAGAATTTGAAGAGAAGGAGGAACTTGTTGTATAAATCAATAACAGCCTTGTGGTCGATTTGAATTTTGAGAGTATAGTTTACTTTGAGAAACACTTTTTTTTCTTTACTTGAGGCATATATATATATATATATATATATATATATATATATATATATATTATATAGACCTACTTTTTTTCAAGCAATCAAAACTTATAAACTTATTGTCTATAGAGATATTGTTACCGATTTATTTTTATATTTTCATATATATGAATTTGTTATATCATTGATGCAGCAAATGAAATCAAACCAACTTTCATAATTTATTCAATATTTTTGTACAATATACCTAGTAAATGGCATGAGTTAGCAGGTCTTGTATATAAATGCATTCAAATCTTCATTATTTTGCTAGCCTCAATTTTCGGAATACTTGTTGTCCGAATGTAAAACATTACAGGTACAGTGTGTAACATTCCATGTGTATGAATCAAATTTTAAAATATTTTGTTAAGTTTATTTGTTATTTACCCGGTAAACTTCAAGGCATTTTTACCCTTGACACATTTTTTTTAGTGTTTTTATGTCTGTTTTGTATCATTTGTAAATGTATTATTATATCCTGTGCAAACAAAGTTTAAGGTATCTAGGAATCACTGATGTCTTCCCACATATCCATTCTATATCTTTGAAGAAATTAAAAAAAAAAATTGAGATACAGATTGCAAATAAAGTGTGTCAGACCCTAAAGTAAAGTCATTTCATAAATTCAAGGTCACAGGGATTAAAAGTACAGAATTCTGTTTTGGGCATTATAAAGGCAGGTATATTGTATTGTAAAGCTCAAAAGGCACCATAATAGTTCCTAACCAGAGGAGATTTAAAATCTTGTCCAGGACACAATTAACCTGTAATTTACAGAAGTTCTTAGGTCTTACGTGATCTATTGATTGCTTCTTAGATTGTGTATCAGTATTCTAAAGCAAGGTCATTTGAACAAGGTCAAGATTAAAAGTACATATAATGTCAATTCTTGTGCATGTAATTGTCTTAATTTGTAATACATGTATAAGCACTGTTGTAGTTTGTACTTATTAAAAAAAAAATGCTTGTGACTTTATACCTGGAAGAGCTTTTTTTTTTTTTTTTAGCTTTTCCAATTTAAAAATTAATTTTACTTTGTGTAATGTTCAAGAGAATTTAATTGTAAACAATTTGTTTCACAACACTCAAAAGTATCAATTTTACATTTCATAAAATCATACAAAATAAATCTTGCAATTTTTTCCATGTTTTGCTTGTAATTAAAGAGTGTATGGAGGGGGAAGGTGAATACTATCAGTATTTTTTTTTTATCAACACAAATCACTCTAATAGGGCGTTTTACAAACTTGAGGTCAATCATTTGACAATGCATAAAAAAAACAAGATGTGTTTGTGAAACATTGATGAATGGCAGCTCATGGTCATCATTAAAATTTTTCAAAAGTAGGTCAAACATGATGGTATGCAAAGAAAGGTCTCAATTGTCACAAGAAATACACACGTGAATTATGAGAATGCTGGCATTAACCATTAAAAAAGTATGGCCATTTTGAAGATTAAAGTTTTTTAAACATTGGTCAAACTTTAATGTCATATTAAGGTAAAATAATGTTGGTACCTAAAGATCTTGTCATAAGAATACACATGAAATATGATGGAGGTTTAAGTTTTTGCAGACAGACAGACCAACCAAAAAATATATGCCCCTGAATATCTGATTACGGGGGTATAATAAAAACATTGTCACAAACCATGGAATGTGTGTCTCATTTCTTTCCCTCCATATTACGGTTTCACACATAACACCTATCTGTTTTTCCAGATTAAATCCTAGACAGGTGAAAAATATTATTATTCCTTATAAAAAAAGAAATGACCAAGAGGCATAAAACTCATTAACAATTTTACTTAAGGATATCCGATCCTCAGTCAGGAAGGATAACTCTTATTTTTATTATTTTATTTAAAAAGTCTCAAAATGAAGCTTGAAATTGAGATTTTTTCGTGCAACAATTTTCATTTTATGCATCTTAATATGATTCAAGGTTCTTTGAAGTCCTAGAAACGGTCTTGTAAAAAGTTTGACATTTGTGTCCCATAAAAGAAAAAAATGAATTCATTTTTAGAGAAATCGAATTTCCTTCAGTCTAGTATTAGATACCACTGCTTATTAGCATGATATGAAATAAGATGTGATATGTGATGTCTACCAATGATAGCACAAGCTTTTTGCACTATGTACATGTATTATATGACAATTGAAGTAAAAAGAGGAACTAAAATACTGTACAAGCATAAAAAAGATGCAATTTTCTCCAAATACCTGGATACCTATATTTTTCTATCATAAATTATATTTGTTGATCAATTTTCAATTAGAAAATGCATAGCTGGTGTTTTTATTCGCATTTCCTGAAAATATATAGGTAAATTCGCGTTACTATGTGAAATCAGAGACTTTTTGTGAGCATTTTCAATTACTGAAAAGCTGATTTTCAGAACCTGAGGATCGGACTACCTTAAGTTCTTGACGAGGTATCAACTATATCATAGTGATCTACAATAAATATGAAAAAAATGAAGATTATATCAAATTATTTAAAATTTATACATTAATTTATTGAAAATATAACATTGTTTAATTCAAATATCTTATAATGTAGACGGAATTTAAATCCTTATTTATTAAGGATATGGTTACATGAGAATATCCCTCGTAATGTCTGTAATATTCAGAGGGTTGTCATCAAATGATTAAGAAATAATACAAGTATGGTTGCATGCGCAAGTTAGTAAAATTCATGCCAGCCATGCACATGGACTGGAAAAACCAGTCAAACACACCTATACGAATCCCATACTCACTGTATGACACCTACGCAAACTATATATGAATGAAATGATGCATGTGCAAAGCATTATACATAGTAACACACGGTAAACAATGATCATGTGACACATTCGTGATGCATATTTATTTGTAGTTTTTCTGAAACAATCATTTTCTAAATTTCCAAAGTAAAAGAAGAAAATTAATACATGCAAAAAGTTTGGGAACTGAAGGGCAAACAAAGTAATTCAACCCATCAAGTGTACGCAAACGATTACGTCTGTTGAATGCAGGCCTATAAACGCGGGGGAGGGAGGCCATGCCCCCCCCCCCCCACTTTTTTCTGAGTATAGTGTTTTGCTACTTATAGTAAATTTTTCTTTAGATACTGGTTGCACCTTCTCTTTTTTGTTGCTGTAAGGTCTGCTCCTACAAGTAAGAGCCCTATGCTCCTTATATATACTTCAGATAATTTTGTTATTTTGGGAAGTTGCCCACCCACCAATCCCCCCTTTTTTTTAGACAGCTCAGGTTTCTCCAGGGGGGGGGGGGGTCTTTTTGTTTGCTGCGGGCTTGGCCTTCAATGGAATCAACTGTCATCTCAACTGTTTTTCTGATTTGCTTCATCATTAAATATGACACTCTTAAATGTAGTCAGATTTCCCTCCAATATGTCACATATACTTAACACAGGGTGCACTTATATTTGTAAATCTATGATGATTGAAAGTTAAAGTTGTGTATTAAAGAGGCTGGGTGGTCAAAAAACTGTCCAGCAGATCCACCTGAAAAGTTCTCTAGCCATTAACTATTATATAGTATAGTAAATGAAACTATAGAGTGTTTCAAGGAATGCTATAGCATCATTTAAAGAAAAAAAAATAAGGCTTGTCATCTATTTATTAAATTTCATGTATTTGCCTGCAGAGAGTAAAAAAAAAAAACATTCAATGGATAGTAAGACTGGGACACGATATGGAATTTATCATAAAATGTGACAGTTAGAAATAAAAAAAAAAACCAGCCCTCAAAACTTAAATGAATCATGAAATTGAAAAATATTACTATTTTATTCATAAGTTAGTAGTGTTTAATTCAACAATCAAATAAAAAAAAAAAAGATTTGTCGGACTTTAATGCAACTGTCAGTGCACATTGTTTTTTTTTTATATTTCAATCTTGGTTAAAAATCTCTGCTTACCTTGGGTCACATGGGCTGCATTCAAGACTGTAGCGGTACCATAGGCACTTAATAGAAGTACATGATTAACGTACATCTGCATTACCTTACTCCACAACCCCTAACTACCAAAATATTATTATCTTGAAAATCTGTAATTTCCCAATCAATTCCACCTTTATGTTATTCTGTGCTATCAGTTTGTACTGTTTTAGTTCCCCGCTGTCACTGAAAGTGGGGAATATTAATTTGGGTTTGTCCGTCCGTCTCTCTATCTATCTGTTTGTAAGACTTTCGTTTCTGGACGTTATCTCAGGAAGCCTTTCAGCTTTTGCTATGAAAGAACAAAGTATGTTATTGGCTGTATCCGGTCGAGAAATTTTACATTTTTTCAACTACGGTTTTTTCTGCAAGTCCTTTGTGTTTTGTTTACAATAAGATCAAAAAGATAATTACAACTTGTATAAAGATGAAGAAATATACCACAACTCCCTATGGCATAAAAAAGACCCCTTTCGATTATGAGGTCAAAAGGTCAAAGGTCATAAATTCATACATTCTGTTTGTGTGTAACACTTCCGTTTCCGGATGATATCTCAAGATGTCTTTGCAATGAAATTTTATACCACAACTCCCTATGGCTTGAAAAAGACCTCTGTTGATTCTGAGGTGTCATAAAGGTGGTTAATTTTGCTGGTTGCCAGCTCTTATTGAAAACACTGTAGAATGTATGAATCACACTTTGTTAAATCCCTAAGGGCTAATATAAATGTTTGTTCAACTTTATAGATTTAAGAACTATGCATCCACTATAATTCTGAAAGCAATCATGTTCCCTTTGGAAACCCTCCTTTGTTAATATTTTGAATAATGACACTTCTGAAAATTTATGTCTCTAAATGATGGTCATGATCACATTTTATGATTTAATGTCTCTACATTTATAAACTCATTACTGGGAAATATTTAAAAGACTCTTGAATCTGTTTAATCTCAGCGAGATTCATGACACTGATAACTTTGGACAGACGTCTCTTCAAATCTCAGACCAATGCCACACAAAGTGACTCGGAAAATCTTGCCCAG